TTGACGACCTCGCTCATCCAAGTCAAACTGGTTGATACAAATAGCGTCAACCCACACAAGACGATCCACAGAGGTTCTGAAGCACCGAAGCGCCGCCAGGCAATTCTTGGTTACAGGTAGGATGTCATAATGTGGGCCGACAAAGATGACCTCGCACAGCGATGAGTCGCCTTGCGAATCTGCCCAGGTGTAGGAAAAAGCCTCGAAAGTCGGGCGGCACGGATCGTGAAGCCCATGCACAAGGAGAGTGCAGTGGATAGGATCGCTCTTAGTCGCGGTACCATGCAAGCGTAGGAGACGAACAGAGTCGGCGTTTGGAAGGCTGGTGTATGTGCTCCGAAAAGAAGTATCTGCTTCAGGTGGATTGTGCGATCGGTCTATCTCTTCATGAGGAGGCTTTGACAACATCTGTGACTCTTGAGTGATGTTGCTGCTAGTCCATTCGTCGATATTGGCACGAATGAAAGCTAGTGTTCTCGCATTCCCATCTTCAGCAATGTCACGTGTGGAACCTTCCGCATCTTCCGAGGTGTCTTTATGGCCTGAACCATCTTCATCGCTTTCAAGATTGGGCACAAACTTATTGCCTTCGGACGCTGGAGTTTCTTGGGAATTTTTGCGAATCAGGTAGCGGTCGCCGTCTTCAGAACATGATAGGCAAGGTGTGTTGCCACCATCTAAAGATGCTTCGGAAAGCAGACCATGATTGGGATCTGTCGCAACTTTCCGTGATCCCGCAAGAGAGGAATCAGGAAAGAGTCGTGGCGGCCATCTGCACACCAGTTGCGATCGCGGAACATCTGGCGGAGGTCCAGGCGGCGAGATTGGATGGATAGGCGCCAAAGCGGGCGCTTTACGTTGACAGGCAAGACATCCCGGTCGTCCATCTTCCCACTCCAACTTCAGCGCTGCGCATGTCGCGTCGTGCCACGCCATGGACCCAGGTTGCGTGAGCTCCACCAGGTAGATAAGAGACGTGTTAGGAGTAATGGTGAAGAGGCCGTCGAGAAAGGCTGGAGGATGCAGTTACCCCGCCTCGGTTGTGGCCATTGGCCAGCCTTGCTGCATCTCACAGCCTTGTTGTGCATATGCGCGGATAGCTAGAGTCAGTTCTGATGATAAGCAAGTGGGTTTCGATATGTTCCAAGAACGGCAGTTTTGATGCCCTCAGGTAGTTGGCCGACCTGGTGTCGCTAATGAGGTGAAATTACCTGTGAGACAAAATACTACTTCAGGCCACCACGAAACGCATTGAGCGCCTCTGGGGTCAGACACTATAATGTCGACCATCTTGAGAGGCCCAGCTCAAGTTCCATGACAGATGCGACCAAAACGCTGGAGGACTTTCAAGACCCCAGGACCATCTCCTGCTCCGAGGCATCGAGAAGCCAGCTGGCACATGACAGCTGAGCATCGTGACAAACTGAGGCATTGCACCCCGGCGTCTGACAGGCTTCTCGTGTAACAATGAAGTCCTGCACAAGGAGAGCTGCGGCTGAGGCCACCACTGTCGCACAAAGTTTGCATAGTCGGTACGAGTTGTGGGGTGGTGACATCTCAGCGGGGACGCGAGAAAAGATGGTAGCGAAGCAGCAGCAGTGCGTTGGGCGACAATGTGGAGAAGAACATGCGGACGATGAATGTCGGGGTACGCGATGTCGCTTTGTCATGTACCTCAGAGCTCAGATGCCGCGCCTGAAGATTTTCTCTTCGGCGATTCGTGCTATGTCGGGGCTGAATTCTTTTCCGCGTCAAGCTTCGTCGGGGTAGGCACTAGCGCAGGGCATGGCCAATCAGGGTTGTGGGCCGTCGGATCGAAACCATGGGGAGACCTCCGCGTGATTGACACCGAGCGACCCACGTGAACGAACCACCTCGGTAGAGACAGCCTTCTCGCCATCATCGCTACCACATTTTCCTCCCGCAGCGAAGGGACTGGATTTGCATCTCTCGCGGTCGCTGGGTCAGGCATCCTGACCGTGCATCGTGACCACATGCACTAATCAAGGGCGGCCCCGGTTGGACGTTTCCAGCGTCGGGACAGGAGCGGAGGCTGGGGTTGGTGGTGCTGGGCTAATGAGAGTGACTCGTGCCACACTGCGCGCTTAATTAGGAGCTCCGAAGGCCAGCAAAGTCGCGTATTGGCCGTTAGGCGTCCATGGCCGACAAGCGTCAGCAGTTCACATTCATCTTGACCGCCGTTGCATTAGCGTTCAGCCACATGGTGTTGTCTGGGGAAAGACGCCTGCAGTGGTGAAAAGCATAGCACAGGCCATGCCATTGGCGCATCGTCAGCGCATCATCGTGATGAAGAAAGCAGGCGTAGAAGGCGGAGGGAGCCGAGTGTAGGGCGCCGCGCACCTGGTATTGGGGGCTAGCGCCGTTACCAGCCTGCTCCAGACACACGTTAGCCGACTCCATGGGCCACGAGAGACTCCATGGGCCACGATGGTGGAGTCTAGTGAAGTGGGAACCCTTGGTCGGGGAGCACCTCACGTGCGGCTCTGAAAACCTAGAAGCGTTCTAGACAGGATCGAAATCCGTCTGTGCTCTATCTGCCAAGGTCAAATCACAGCCGGTGCAAATGCCGGTCCGACACTTGTCAAATTACCAGGTTAGTCGGGCCAGTCGGGCCTGGAGAAGAAGCTGGAGCAGGCAAAACGCGGGCGACCATTCCCCAGAGAGCTGGTGGCGCGCACCCTTCACTGGGTTCCAGGCTAATGCACCCAATAGCAGGGAAGCACGGGCCCCTACTAGTCGCGCCGCAATGTTACCTAGCCATTTCTGCGGTACACTTGTTCCGCACTGCACTAGATCTCAAATCTCCAGCTCTGTTTATTAACCCTCAACTCACCCGCATCTCGGATTCTGATTCTTCGTCCAAGGCCGCGTGCGAGTTCTACCCTGCACAGCTTCAAGCAACGCGCTTCGTCAACTCCCTCAGCGTACAACCCCCACGCACTTGCCCATCATGAGCCACAACAACGACCTGGCCGACGAGGCCGCCAACCCCAAGGGCATCCAAGCTACCACTGATGTCAACATGACTGAGTGCCCTGTCACTTGGAAGGCCTACCTCCTCTGCGCCTTCGCCTCCTTTGGTGGTATCTTCTTCGGTAAGACAACAACATTGTACAATCTCCACAGTAACAGTGGCTGACTGCAAACCCAGGTTACGATTCCGGATACATCAACGGTGTGCTCAACTCGCCTCTCTTCATCCAGGAGGTCGAGGGCAACATCTGCCCCCAGGGTCTCGACACTCCCGATGGCCTCTGCAAGATCAGCTCTGGCAACACCTCGCTCATCGTCTCTATTCTCTCCGCTGGTACTTTCTTCGGTGCTCTCGTCGCTGGTGACCTTTCCGATATGATTGGTCGCAAGTGGACCATTGTCCTGGGATGTCTCATCTACATCATCGGTACGAACTCCCCCGCTTGCACTACTTTATGAAACAAGCCACTAACCCCCACTTAGGAGTTGTTTTGCAAATGGCTGCCACTGGCCGTGACCTCCTTGTCGCTGGTCGTGCCATCGCCGGTATTGGTGTCGGTTTCGAATCTGCCATTGTCATTCTCTACATGTCCGAGATCTGCCCCAAGAAGGTCCGTGGTGCGCTCGTCTCTGGTTACCAGTTCTGCATTACCATTGGTCTCCTCCTTGCCGCCTGTGTCAACTACGGCGTCCAGGGTCGTGGTGACACTGGCGAGTACCGCATCCCCATCGGTATCCAGTTTGCCTGGGGTCTTATCCTCGGTGGTGGTATTGCGTGCCTTCCCGACTCTCCTCGTTACTTCGTCAAGCGCGGCAAGCCCGATGAGGCCAAGAAGGCTCTGATGAAGATCCGTGGTGTCCACCCTACCGACCCCCAGGCTGCTGAGCTCAGGTCCATGGTTGAATTCGAGCTTGCTGAGATCATTGCCAACGAGGAGTACGAGCGCGAGCTTATCCCCGCCGGTGGCTGGATCTCTGGCTGGGCCAACTGCTTCAAGGGTTCTCTCTTCCAGTCCAACTCCAACCTTCGCAAGACTATCCTCGGTACCTCGCTCCAGATGATGCAACAGTGGACTGGTGTCAACTTCATCTTCTACTACTCCACTCCCTTCTTGGAGTCGACTGGCGCCATCTCCAACACCTTCTTGATCTCGCTCGTCTTCACCCTGGTCAACGTCTGCTCCACCCCTCTTTCCTTCTACGGAATGGAGAAGTTCGGTCGCCGCACACTCCTCCTCTTCGGTGCTCTCGGTATGTTGATCTGCCAGTTCTTGGTTGCCATCATCGGTGTCACTCAGGGATTCAACAACTCCACCACTCTCGCCGACGGCACCACCCGCGCCAACAACATCTCGGCCGTCAACGCCCAGATTGCCTTCATCGCCATCTTCATCTTCTTCTTCGCCACTACCTGGGGTCCTGGTGCCTGGGTCCTCATCGGTGAGGTCTTCCCTCTGCCCATCCGCTCGCGTGGTGTTGCCCTCTCCACCGCCTCCAACTGGCTCTGGAACACCATCATCGCCGTCATCACCCCCTACATGGTCGGTACCGACCAGGGCAACCTCAAGTCCTCCGTCTTCTTCATCTGGGGAGGTCTCTGCACCATCGCCTTCATCTACACCTACTTCTTGGTTCCCGAGACCAAGGGTCTGTCTCTCGAGCAGGTCGACCAGATGATGGCCGAGACCACTCCCAGGACCTCTGCCAAGTGGCGCCCTACTCACACCTTCGTCGAGAGCTCCCTCCAGAAGGGTGGCTCTACCATGATCGAGCGCAACGGTTCCATTGTCGTTGACACTGAGAAGAACCACCGCACTGCTTCCGTCCACTAAATGGATAGATGATGCGGTGTTTTATTCACGTCTTGATGACACGAATGAGTCACTTTGAATGATGTAATGTTTGGTTCTAGTTATACTGTACAGTATAGCATATTACTAAAGACACGGAATGGATAGATGCCCGGCTGGAGAATGATACCTCTGTAGTTTATACTATAGCATAAACTACTTCTTAATCTTGAACCACGGATGCTCCCTCACATTTGATGTCTTCTTTAATTCTTAACTTTAGAATGTCCTTCCCTCGTGTGATGTCTTTAATTGCCAATCTTGAAGTGCTCTTCTCGTGTCATATGTGTGCAATGTTTCTTTCCATATATCCTTCCACACAGATCTTCTGTTCGTCACTAATCACACATACCCACCCCCTCCCTCTGCCTCCTCAGCCCCTCCCTCAACTTCCCATCTCTCTCCCTCTCTCCCTTCCCCATACCCTTCGTCCCCCTCTTCCTCTTCTCCCTCCCCTTCTCCACCCCCCTTATCCTCCCCTCCATCCTCTTCACCTCAAGCTCATCCGCCCAAGGCCCAGCTTTCACCTCCGCAACACTCCTCCCCACCCACCACTGCGGATCGTGAATGCCCAGCCAACCGCCTTGCTTCACCCAATCCGGTCTTGGAACGCCCAATTCGTAGATCTCGAAGAGTGGTGATGAAGCTATGAGTGTGGCGTGGGTGCGGAGGAGGTTTATGGCGAGGAGGAGGGTAGGTTTGTTGGTGTTGGTTGGGATGGTGAAGCGTGTTGTTTGCGCTGGGATGGTGGTGGAGAGGGTGTAGGTGATACCGGATTGTATGCGGTGGAGGAGGGGGTCTGTCTCTGAGGTGGTGGTTGTCTCGTCCAGCGAGGCGGATACGGAGGGTGTTGGGGAGGTGGAGGGTTGGCGGATAGATGGGCGGGGTGTCCTTCGCCTTGGCGACTGCTTTCGTGGTGCGGACGCCGGGGGTGATGTCGGCTTCTCGTTGCGCGATCGCTTGAATGGTTGCGATGAGGCCGGCTCATCGTCTGCTCTACGCTTGGAGGATGTAGATGTCATGATGGCAGTATGGATAGTGGTAGTAGGGAAGTGGTTTGGAGAGGTAGGACGGTGTTTGTCAGATTCGAAGATATCATTTGGGTATCTAGACAATAGGGCATGCTATAGTGGAAGTGAATGAGAGTGTTTCTATAGATACAATAGCTCACGCACCAACAATACCAGCCTCTTTCACTACGTTATCCTATCTAGCACTCACCCCGACTGTGCACATACATAGAACAGTACAGGTGATTGACCTGTCACTCACTGAGTCGGACAGCCTCCATGGCCGTTGAGTGACATGTTCTCCAGACTCCTTGCAGCCTGCGGATCGTCCAAAACACTCTCTTGACCTATCATGTTGGCTCCGAGTGAGACCCAAATCATGGCGGTACCTTGCGTCATTGGCAGTGCTGCTTCCTTACGGTGCTTGTCCACCACCTTCTGCAGTACCTCCGGCTTCACAGCTCCAAGCTGTACAGTACGTGGTCCTGCACGCGAAAGGTTGGGGTGCGGTTCGTTCGTCAGCCATATTCCCATTACACCACTTATCTTATCAGCGTACGGAAACTCTCCTTGGAAACCCAGTTTGCGCATGACCCAGTGTTCAGACGCGACTTGAGGACCTTGCCATGCCTTGAAATCTGAGAGGGTGTGTGGATTGCTAGGGAGTTCCACGAGCAGAGAATCTAGCTTTGCTTTGCGTTGGGTCGTAGTGAGCTTCTTCCACTCCACCGCCGTCTCATAACCTTGCTTGGTTTTAGAGAGAGACATGATCTTGTAGGACTTGACAAAGGCTTTGGCCGCTTTCACCGGATGGTCCAGGCCCAGTTCGGCGATACCCAAGAAGCGATAGAAGCGAGCGATAGCAGATGTGGGAACCGCCTCATATCCTAGTTTCGCGTTGAAACCCTCCGCATTCTCCGCCATCTGCACTAACGTTGAGATATGGTCGAATTTGGGGCCCTTCTTCGGAGTAGACAGGTCTGTGAAGTCGAGTAGCTGTCGTTCGATATCAACCATGCACTGGAGCGCATAGATTCGGCACTGGAATCCAGATTCTAGACGTGTATCCATCATGTCGTTTTGCTTCATTGTGCTGTCGATGAACATGACCGTGTCGTTCCACTTCGCGAAAGCCATGTCTCGGTTTCCGATATTTGAAGCCATATCGCCCATGCGCTTCATCGACAAGGCGAGATCGTAAACCTCGGCAGCACCGGCTCGCAGCCATGCGACTCCCTGGGTCATAGTCTGCTTGACGCGTTGGACAAGGGTTGCATCAAATGTAGAAGTGAACGTGACCTGCTGTCGGAAAGCAACACCTTTGACTACGAAGGAATCGAGTTAGTTACTTCTCATCGTACAACATATGCAAGTGGGCGACTCACCTTGTTCCATGGGTAAGAGCAGGCGCTCTTGATGCTCCTTACTCAGATTGCCGACACCACCGGGTGGCGTGTGAAGCGTGAACTTGATGTTATAGCCGAAGAAGTTGGCGAAGTCGACAATGCGCAAAACGCGAGCGAACTTGGGAATGTCTTGCAGTAAGAGAAGTCCCGTCGTCGTCTTCCCACCATAAGTCGGTAGACTTATGACATTTGGGGTGACATCGACTTCCGCGATATGGTTCTCGAACTTCATCGTCTTCAACTTGAAGTAGGGAGTCTCGTGGTTAATCAAAGCGGTCTCCATCGGGTCTCCATAGCCATTGCGGAATTTGATCCACTTGTTGTCCTGGTAGAAGATGTGGGCAGCCTCTTGGTTAACGGCCTTGTTTGTACGGAGGATGGCGACTTGAAAGTCATAATCTTCTATAAGATAGCGATTAGGAGGGCCGCGGACACGATCAGAGAGGAGCAAGTAGCGGAGGATGTCGCGGAGAAGGTGCTGAGGAAGCGCTTCCAATCGAGACATCGCGGATGTTGTTGGCAGCAGCGAGTCGCTGGCGATGAGACTGTAGGTGCGACCGTTGTTTGTCGGTTTTCTCAGAGCTGTAAGTATCCGTAGGCTTTGGATACGGAGCTGTACATTCGACACGAACAAACAGTTCGGCAAGTGAGGATCCTTAGCCCGACAGCCTGAGTAGGCGACCGAGCCGAGCATAGCGTTAACGACGTCATTTTAGCGCAGGCTCCCAGGCAGCAGTGTCAAGTGAAAGATGCTGATGACTTTCTGTGTTGTGCAGCGAGAGTGAGTGAGTGAGAGAAGACGGGCAGCCGCGAGAATTAACCTGCAGGGGTTTAGGCGAGGCTTGTATCGACGTAGCTTAGCGTCTCGGCTTAGCTCAGGTCCCCGCGCGTGCTCCCCGGGACCGGCTCTTCTCCCTTCGTACCCATCCTTCACGCAGTCCATCTCATCATGTCTAGTCATCTTCTGTCTCTACCGCGCGAACTTCGCGACATGATTCTCGAACTCGTCATCAGTGCGCACATTGAGCCTCCAAATTGGCCTGCTCTTGACGAAGCCACCCGCAAAGCCTCGGTAGCAACGAACTGCTTACAGCTACCCATCTTGCAGCAATATACTGCTTATGGACTGCTACTCACGAACAGACAACTGCATCAGGAGACCAAAACTCGTCTTCGTCAGCTGCCGACGGCGTATTCTCTCGATGTGATGATGGTCAACAGGAAAGAGCTATGGCCTACATGGATCTGCTGTCCAGCTCGAAGCATGGAGCCGATCGATTCCATTTCCATCAACGTGCGCGATACCAGAGACAAGCCAGCCCTCTTTCTGAAGCGGCTCAGCAACGTTCTTCTCAATAAGCCTAGCTTTACCGCTCTCCTCGAATACACAGCGAGCGTCTGCTGCCCCGGCCACCGAATAAGAACCGTGAAGCTGAACCTCCATACACCTACTGTATCTGAGCGGGCCCCGCACATGAGCACTGTGAAGCTAGACTGGCTTGGGTGGAGGGCGCACGCTATACAGCAAATGTACCCTAGGATGAGTCCAGAGGGTGTCATGAACAATGAAGGCCTGGCGCTAAGACTACTGACCTATCGCATGACCTTCTTCTTGCTTTCGGTACCGGTCACTATATTGGAATTGGACGGAATGGGTTGGACATCGTGGGTTAGAGAATTCGATGAGATAGTCATTACTGTCGATGGAGAAGGGAAGGCTAGCCTGATCAAATGCTGGGAAGAGATATACGCCTCCCTCCCCAAATTGCTACCGACGCATTGAACCACAGCTTCAGACCTCCAGGAGCACTTCCTCCGTCCACTTCCACAACCTTCCCGCCAGATCTTCGTCTCTAGCCTCCGCCGTCAGTTTCTCCGTCGAGTCTACGCCCCCAGGCGTGTAATATCCTCCATTCCGCATTGCTTCTTTCTCCTCTCCGGCCGCACACCAAAGCTGATTCAAAACGCCCTCATGCGGCTCAAGCCACCTCTCTCCCGATATCCGCGACGTTACGTTGACAAACGTCTTACTCCAGCCGGCCATCTCGGTATTCATGGTTGTCTTGACAAGTCCAGGGTGGATGGCTACAGACGTCAGCTCAGGATGCCGACGCGCGAGCTCCGCTGCGAAGAGGATGTTTGCGAGTTTGGACTGGCCATAACGAATCCATGCGCCTAGCATCATTCGAGACATCGTGCTTCCAGCGTCAAGTTCATCGAAGGAAATGCCACCCTTGATGGCGCGATGGAACTCGTAACCGGCGGATGTGTTGCTGACGACACGGACGTCTGCATTGGGCTCTTTGGCTGTCTTGAGCAAGATGGGCATCAGCTCTCTGGTGAGCATCGCATGGCCGAGATGGTTCGTCGCGAATTGGATCTCGTAACCATCAGTACTCAAAACTGCCGGTTTGGCAATGATACCGGCGTTGTTCATCAGTACGTCGAGGCGGTCATGTTTGAAGTCTCGAGCGACGGCCTCTTTGACTGCGCGAAGGGACGAAAGATCCATCTTGATGAAGCTCAAAGATGTCCTCGGGTGCTTGGCTTTGATGTCGGCGATCAGTGCATTCGCTGCAGCGACATTGCGGCCTGTGAAGTAGATGTGTAATGGACTGTGCGCCGCCAGTGCTCGCACACTTTCCTCTCCCAATCCTGCGGTGCCTAATATGACTGTCAGAAGAATGTCAACGACGGTAAAGAAGTTCAATCACCTCCAGTCACCAAGATCACTTTTCCGGAAAGGTCTCGAATGTCCTTTGCAGGGTCGAAGTCTTTGAAGCCTTGCATGTTGAAGCTTTAGTCGCGAAGTGCGTTGATATTGACATCTCAATTTCCACAGTTGCACAGTGCCTCTTATATACCTGGCGCACCATTGCCATCTTCCAATTCGGACGAAAAGTCAGGCTTCTTGTGGCGCTTCTTCAAGGTGGTGGTGATGCTGCGACAACTATCTCCGCCGGGAAGATGTATGGCCGCAACGTGCAAAACGCCGGGAGGATCGACGAGAGTGCAAAAACGCTATACCACATTCGGCTATGAGACGGAACTATGGCTGCAGGCACAAATTTCGAAGACTGAACAAAGTCACCTATCATAATTCACGTCACGTTCACTGGTCATCTAGATCGAAAGTAAGGTGTATGATGCATTACATGAGCTGTCAGGGTGTTACCCAGTCGCGCCTGGTCATAGATCGGCCACGCTAGTATGTTTCCCGTGCACCTGGGCAGCTACCCGTCCCGTCCCGTCGCATTCGTCGCGTTCCCTTCCAAGCCTTTTCCGTTTCTCACCACCTACCCCGAGTTCGTCAGACACTCTAGCGCATGCGATAGGTCGACCATCACGCGTGGGCCAGTACAGGCTGTCGCGATGAGCGCTACGCAATCCGTTGGTCGTATTAGCGGCGTTCGAGAGGCCGCGACGCGTCGCATTCTAATACGCAACAGTTTCCGGACGGTGTTTAGTCTTGCCGATGGTGGGATGGTATACTGGCTTCGTGAGGGGTATCGCGTCGATTCGTCTGTCTAACACTGCCTAAAGCTGAGCTTTGGTGGGATGTTCACGTTGGTCCAAGTCCTGCTTCCGTTGCATGGTGCGGATACGATCAAAAGCCGAGAGAAATGCGCGGTCGCTTTACTACTTGTCTAGACCTTGTTGTCTGGGCTTTGGTCATGCGTTCCCTCATCCCATGCGAATTCTTTCGTCATAGTAATCCCTCTTTCTCTCCTCATACTCTGCGAGAGCTCGCTTGTGGTTACACTGCCTTCTTTGCACAGTGCAGTACCCGGGCACTCCCCATGCACAGTCGTTGTCGTGAGACACATTTCGTCTTCATCCAATCGCGATTTGCCCCACTGGCTCCGAGTGTCATTGTTAATCGTGTCTCCCAACGTATCCTTGAGGTTGATCTTGCGCGTGCGCTTCTTGGATATCGTTTCGAGGGGATTCAGCGAGGGGCCGGATGATTCGGAGTGCTGCGATGACTTGAAGGAGGATGGCAGGCGGGTCGAGAGTGCGTTGATCACTTTCATCATGAGTGGTCGCAGGGTGGGTAGGCATCCGGAAATGATGCCGATGGAGGGTTCTACGGAGGACCAGATGAAGACGTCGCTCTTTGCCCAACTGATGTCTTTCGACTGGACGAGGTGGGTGATGGTGATGATGCGGTAGAGCGAAGCAAAACAGACGCTGTATTTGTTAGCGAAACTTTGTCGTAGGGACTGACGTAGGACTGTAACGTACAAGCTACCAAGAAGGAACGTGAGACAGACTGCCACCTTCTGGGTACGTCCCATGTGGAGCTTAAGCACGCTCGCTATGGGTATCGTAAGGATGCACACATCGCCGAAAAGGTTGATGATGCCGACACCGAGATAGAACTACATCTTGGTCAGTCGCAGTTGCAGTTGGGTCTTGGAGTATTCTCACCTTTGCCTCGTCTACCTGGACCACGCCTTTATCTCCGTACCACTGGTTCCAGTAATAGTGCAGTGGTCGCGTGTAGAGCGGTAGGACGATGTGGTTGGTGATAAGATAACCTGTAGTGAGACCGATGCAGAAATAGCCAAAGTACGAGAGGCCAAATATGCGGCGGTATAGCGCCAGGATCGAGAACTTGATAATGCACACACTCCATGCGTAGATGAAGACATATGCGAATGTAATCTGCTGTAGTCAGCACTGCGATACTTGTGGGGTCCTGGAAGTCGCAACGCACTATCGTAATCTGTCGCATCTCATACGGTCCCAAGGACCAGATGTGCTTCCCAAGGCCGTAGAAGCCGCCTAGTCTGGACGTTAGCACCCGTGATTAGTCTTGCGGGATCGATTGCTTTACCTGCAATGCAGCATGCTAGGTTGCCCGCGTTCAGCGCCAGACCGAGAAACATGAGATAATCATCTAGACCTAGTGGCTCACGCTTTACGTGCAAGCGAGTGTAGAGGCGTAAGCCCACGAAAACGAGAGAAAGGACGAAAAGGACAACGCCGATAGCATTGTTAGAAGCAGTGCGGGATTCGTTCAAGTCGAGACCCGGAGGGGGGTTTGCAAAATAATCGAACGCCATGTCAAAAGCCGGTTGTCGTCGGAATCACGCAGTTTGGTTTGCGAAGTGTCAGAGAATGGTACAACATCATTTGATGCAGAGGGTCAAGTTGTATTATCGCCGTGCAGGCTTTTGGGTTTTGCACCCCCATTCACTCGGCGGTTTTCTGTGTCACGACATGCATTTATTGCAGTGAACCCATAAGGCCGTGCAATCACATGTCCAGTCGGATGAGTTTCCCGCGTAATCGCACCGATTGTGCAACGAGTGAATGCCAGTGTTTTCGGGGAGAGTGCCGGTTTCGGTGCGAAATGGAATCGACGCTAGCCATACTTGTATAGGCTCACCTGGCTGCGAGAACGCGTGGTGTGACGAGCCGGGTACCTGATGCGCACTAGCCCGATGACAAACGATCTTCGTGTGCAGTTGCATTGTTTGGCAATCCGGGAAGGGCTGGCAGTTGGGCAATCGGACCTTTCCACGACGCGGGAGATAACGACGTGCCGCAGCGGCCGCCGTTGTACGGTGACCGACCGGAAGCGGCGATCTTGGCAGGTAGCAAGCAACCTTAACAAAGAAATCTGGGTCCACGACAGCTCTCTTCTCCGCAGTTTCACCAGCCTGACAGTCTTGACTCAATTCATCGAGTAGGAACCCCGATTATCGCGCTGCAACAAGATGGCACCCAAGGAAACCAAGTTCAAGGTGGCTGCCGCCCACGCTGCGCCTGTCTTCATGGACAAAGCTGCCACCATCAAGAAGACTATCCGCCTCATCGAACAAGCTGCGAAAGATGATGTCAAGCTCTTGGTGTTCCCCGAGACCTTCATTCCTGGCTATCCTGTATGTGCATTGGCTGTTATCTCAAACTTGGTATGCTGGGGCTCAGGCTAATATTACCACAGTACTGGATCGAATGTTACCCACCCCTAAAGCAGGTCGCTGCTTTGGCCAAATACGCCGAAGAGAGCGTTGTAGTGGAGCCGAATGGGGAGGATATGAGTGCTATTCAGGATGCCTGTCGCAGGACCGGTGTAGCCATCAACCTGGGCGTGTGCGAACGTGTCGCCAACGGCTATACACTATTTAATTCGCAAGTTATTATCGATAGCGACGGCACTATACTCGGTGTTCATCGGAAGCTTCAGCCAACCTATGTCGAGCGCATGGTGTGGGCTCAGGGCAACGGAAGTACATTGCGCAACTGGCCATTGTCGCTCGGGTACAACCTCGGAGGTCTCGCGTGTTGGGAGCATACCATGAACGGCGCGCGCCAGGCCCTCATCACACAGAACCAGCACATTCATGCGGGAGCTTGGCCGGCATTGTCCACCATGGCCGGCTTCGAAGCCGTTGCCGATGCGCAGATCGAGGCGTTGATGAAGGCCCATGCCCTCACTGCCCAAGTCTTTGTCATCACTGCTTCCAACTACGTCGACCAACAGTGCCTCGACTGGATGGAAGAGAACCTCGGAAAGCAGGACCTCGTCAAGGCTGGCGGCGGCTGGTCTTCTGTCCTCCATCCGTTCTGCTCGTACATCGCTGGTCCGCACACGGGCGGGGAGGAGAAGTTGGTGCAGGGCGAGATTGACTTTTCGCACATGGGATCGGTCAAGGTGTGGATCGATGCGGCAGGCCACTACCAGCGTCCAGAGATTCTGCAATTCGCGTTCGATGCGCGCCCACACTGGGCTGATGAGAAGACCGATCGCTTCAGGGTGCGTACAGATGAGAAGAAGTCGGATACTGAGAGTGGTTATTCGTCCCAAGAGTGAGGTGAGGTCAAACTAGAGGATGTGGTCTTGGCAACTGTGCCGCATCGGCAGGCAGTCGCGATATGAAGTGGCGTGGTATGTGTGACATGTTACTGGCTGGACCTCGTGGAGGCTTAGCGACTCCGCCATCTTGTGCAGCCTCATTCAGGCGGGGTCAGATGGAATCTCCCACCAAGTTTCAACACTTTCATTATACCATTATCGTGTCATTGCCCAAACGTTTTGTTATTCTTTTGCCATGCCGGTCACGTTTGGTGCCGTAGGCGACATCATCTCCGTCGTTTTGCTTGTGAAAGATCTAGTCGCAGCGCTCGACGAGGCCCGCGGCTCCAAAGCAGAGTACCAGGCCGCCGTACGCGAGCTTTGGACTCTCGACCGTACGCTCCTCGAAATTGATTTACTTACTAGACAGCACGGGGATGGAGCTACGCCTGAGTTACGGAGTCTCTGCGAAACAGCAAAGCAAGCCGTAGCTAGATGCAATGACCGCGTCAGCGCCTACAAGAAGCGCATCCAAGGATACCAGCGCGCTTTTGCAGTCGGCAAAGTGAACAGAGTCAGGGAGATTGGAAGAGCGATTGGTTGGAGGACTGGAGAAAAAGAAGCGCTGGAGCAGTTTCGCGCAGAGATCGCGGGGACGACGTCAAGCCTGCAGATGCTGTTGATCACGGCCAATGTGTAAGTATCATATTTACACTGGTCAGAGCTCATGCTGATGTTGTATAGCACGTTACTTGGGGTGAGTCGAAAAGAGATGAATGACAAACTCGACGAAGCAAAGCGCAGGAACGACAGGGCGACGCTCTTGCATGATGCATCACTCATACACATCAGAGACGGCATTGAGAATGCTAACCGCAATATCGAAGCTGCCAACTCGATATTGGGGAACGTATCCGAAGCACTCAAATTAGATTGGCTCCGAAAGCTTGGTTCTGAGCTCAAAGGCATGATACGAGGCGCGATGACGATCAACTTCGCAACTTACCATGCTGTTATGCGCCTGCAGACTTCACTTCCCAGCTACCTAGAGCGAAGCATGTTCGAGGAGCCAATAATACTGGACGATCCCATGGGTCGTATCGCGCCTGTCCATCTGCAATTCATCAACTCTTGGGATGCTTTCCACTCCGTTCTTGAGCTGCGTTTCCAGGACATGCCAGGTCAGATCAAGATTGGACGAAGGCAATACGCCTTACAAGCCCGAGGTACGGGAAGAGAGATCGAGTTGTCGCGCCCATGGCACGCTGCGTTCATACCTGGTCAGCGAATTGACATGAGCTTCATCTTCAGTCAGGATGACGCTAGCGAGAGCAGTAGCACTACTTGTCCAGGATGCCGGACCCCATCATCATATACCACTGATGTCGATATACACTGTACAGAATGTCAGATGTTCTTTCGGAGGATTACCGTGATTCAGGACGACGAATCCCCGCTACAAGCCGATCAACATACGGGAGAGCCCGACTTGCGAACGGGAGCTACAGCCACCGGTAGTCGAAAACGAGATATATATCAACTCAATGAGCGCGAGGAAGATGACGTTAGAAGCTTCAAGCGAGTGCGACTCATCTCCAAAAGAAAGCGTGCTGGTCAACGCCGACGCTTTCCACCTGGAATGGTTGAGCCGCATCAAGAATTGGACGATGTCATGGATCTATTTGGATCAATGAGTGGACGTTTCACGCACCTTCGAGCGCAAGTCGATCGATTCCACGCCCAGGTCAACAAGAAAACAGTCGAGCAAGAACTGAAAGGCGGCGAGGAATTCAGTCTCGAACGTCATGGAAAACTCATGGCTTCTCTCAATTCACGTAGAGATAGGAAGGAGAGGGTTAGAAGGAAAAGTCAATCAGATATTGGCCCAACAAAATTTGCCCAAGAGGGCGGGGCGGACAAAGGGAGCCTTCGATGGGTTACCGCCACCAGACCCAGCGATTTCAAATCAAAGGCTAACATGCGAGCCGTAAGCCAAGCTGCGATGAACAGCTATCTAAAGGCAACAAAATAATTGGCTAGAAACATAGCCAGGGCCACTGGCGAAGCCACGGATGATTCGCAAGAAATGGCCCCAAAACGATCAGATCATCCACCCTGGGAGCCACAACCAGAATCAGTCAAGGGCGCGCTACGATCTGACTAAGAGTATGGTTCGTATCTCCAAAGTTGAAGACGAAGGCTTGTAGAATTACCAAGGCTCACTCCTGACTATAGCATGTCTACTACAGAAGGATCATACATCAGATCGCCGGCTGAAAGACGCTACCAATAGCACTCATTCCTACATACACCACTTCTTCACCTGCACAGCCTTACATCCATCCTTCCCAAGAAGCCAATCATCACAAAGCGTATTACACTCCACCCCCGGCTTCACAAACACCCTACCCTCCTGGCTCGGGTCGCCATTTGGAGTACCGTACCATGGTAGTCGCCATTGGACTTCGAAGTTGTTGGCTTCGTAGCCTGTTGCGCCTGTTGGGTGTGTCAGCCGGTCTTATCACTGAAGAGATGACGGAGAGTAGACAAAGGGTCAGTGAGGAGAAGGAGGCATACGGTACCCATGGCGGCAGGCGCAATAACTTGGACCGGGCGTATGGGCGTTGGCATGACCCCAGACGTAGGTGCAGGAGGTGGTGATGTGGCATTTGTTCTTGTCGGGGGTGGGGATGCATGTGTCGCAGGGGGATTCGTAGGGTGGGGAGAGAGCGGCGGTGATGGCGAGGAGGGATGAGACCATGGCGATGGTGAATGTCTTCATGATGGGGTTTAGCGGTTCGGGTGATGCAAGTTCGATGAGCAGATGGTCGATTGAAGTGGGTCTTGTTGTACTGTTGCTTCGCTTTATGCAGATGCTGAGCAATGAGCGGAGTGGTAAGGTCTTCTTATAATTGAGACGCTCTATCACAGCTGTGCGGTTCCTAATTCAGCATCGTATCGCACTCACACCATTACAGTACCTACAAGACAAGCATTCCGTATCAGTGTTGGAGCAGCGACGCCGCATCGACATTCATGATTAGATCAGCCCGAAAACACCTCAGCCAACATGATATCCACACGTAAACCTGAGCCACTATAGTCTTACTGGACTCCTTGATCTCGTACTGCAAGACGTGCGTAGATGCCAAGCAACAAGTGCATACACGCGAATGGAAGCAGCGACTCCGTGGCTTTCGCCGCATCACCTAGCGCTACCGTAGATCGACTGCTAGAAAGATGTCATAGGTTAAACATAGGAGAGATGGCTGAGTTGAACATCTGATGATATGTCTGGCGCGGTCAGGAGATCTCGTGTTGCTTCCCCGCATTCCTCAGCTTGCTGATGAGGCGGAGAACACGAATGTTAGCGGCATAAGAGGAAGCACATGTCGTGAATTTTGTTCGTGAATTTGGAAGTGTGGATGCGATAACAATAAATGTTGCTAATTGTGTAACCGGGATATGCCAGTGTTATGCGACTCCAGAACGCCATGCCATGATGCGTATGCAGTTGATCCTCATTGTCTCACCTCTTCCCCTTCTTGAGCACCAGCCCCTTCCAGCCCTTACTGTCCTTGATCCGCCTGAGCGCTTTGCTCGCAACAGGATCCTTGGCCAAGTCATCCAAGCAAGCCTTCTTTTCCTCCTCACTCTCGTGCTCGTGGAACTCGCACCATTCCTTCTCCATCTTTGGTCTCTCTCCCCTCGCCAACATTGTTACCAGCTCGAATAAGAAAGCTTGCGGAAGCTGACTTCGCAGGGCTATCGTGCGCTCGTCGTCGCGGTCGGGGTTCCAGTAAACGGAGTACATATCGAGGAAGTATCGGCACAGCGGTGCGTCTGGTGGGAGGCTCTCGTAGGCGGCGATGACGTTGCTGTGGTCGGGCATGACTTGCAGGATCTCGTCGTTCGTTTGCCATGCTAGGATGACGGCGCGACGTAGCTTCGGGATGGCGTAGCGGTGTGCGAAGACATAGAGCGAAATGAATCGGCGCTCTAAGAAGCCTTCCAGCCCTCTCCACTTGTATGGTCTTGAGCAGCATGGACACAGCGTCTCTTTGGGTATCTCGGGCTTCTCAGCTGGGTTTCGTGGGGGCGGTACTACGGCAGCCTTTTCTGGCTCAGCATCGCCGGGGACCTTCTCGGCACTGGGTGCAGGGCTGCTTGCAGCGGCAGCGTTGGCCGGCGCGGCGTCTGCTTCCGTATCGTCGGTCTCTAGAGCAATGCCCCAAGACGCAGTATCCACATCATCGCCCTCCTCCTGACCGGTGGTGCTCGAGCTGTCGCCGCCATTGACACTGACTGCATGAGTCGGAGGGTGGACTTCCTTCCCTCCCTCGATGAGATGGTGTGGTATGAAGCCTGTGTATAACCATAGCATGAACGCGTCAAACACGTCAGGGGTCGTGTCGTCGAGGTCTAGCGTAGTTCCCGACTTCTCATAGGGCGAGTTGCTCTTCTCCTCTAAGCATGTGTTGAAGTATGGGGAGCATCGTCGGAGGAGTTCGCGATGGCAGCTGAAAGACTCGGCGTAGTCTTTTCCGCCGACCTTTACTGTGATGATCGTCTGATCGAAGTTTCTACCTCTGGTTAGCCGTTCAGCCTGGTGAATCTCAATGTAATGGCGACACTTACCGGAACGTGTGTCCAAGCGTAGTAGCACCTTTTGAGTGCATGAAAGGCATTTTGAGTAGATAGTCAGGTTCCATTCATTGTCACCTTACTGTGGACTTCATCGCCGTTATATCTCTACTTTCCAGCCCGGGTAATACGGGGAGCTCAGTTTCAGCAATCGTGACAGATGCATCTTGGCGTTCGACTTTGCGGCGGTTGAATGCTTGTACGAGCTTCTGTGCCCTGTTCGAAGAGGCTTAAGCGGGGTGACAATGAGCTTAATTGAAACCGACAGGCCCTAGAGAACGAGTGACGGCTGGGCTCAGCTGGGCGATCTTAGAATGAGGTAGGGGTCTTGTCGAGTCGTGCGGGAGAGGATGAGTTTGATAGCCGTTTCATGATGCTTGGCGGGGAAAGCATGCCTCAGCCGACATCTGGCTCGCACGAGATCTTCATGGCGGTGAAGTCGAGCCTGGCATCTCCTTGCGCGTGGCCTAACGTAGAGACGGGTGGTGCCGCAGGATGGCTTCCAAGGTTGGTGATGGAGTGGATGGGGTGGTTGGAGCGTGATCGAAGACGCGTCGCATCCCCGCGTCGTCGATGTTGGCATCCGTGCACCGCTGACCCACTGCGTCATCAATCCCTAGGAACCGCGATGGGCCCAACACCAAGCAAAGACAATATACACTCTACGAATCACATAGTCACCGAGCATATGCGAACGATGGCAGCCCGTAGTGCAATGCTTACCCCGCGTTTGTACGATGTCAACCCCGCCTCAGATGCAGCCATCAGAACTTGGCCGCATCCAGCTATGCGTATAACAATGCCGTTGTTGTGCGCATTCTTATCTGCGAGTCGATCCGAACCCTGAGAGGTTTTCCAGGACGAAAGACTTCCAGATGGCCTCCAAACTCGACACAAAGACCTATCTAGGCAATATCATTAACAACCAGCTGGTCCCAACCCCTGAAACACGACATTCCATCAATCCAGCCACCGGCCAACCACTCTACGAAGTGCCGGTAACCAGAAAAGAAGATCTCGATGCCGCCGTAGACGCAGCGCGCAAAGCGTTCAAACCATGGAGCTCCACACCCTTCTCCGAGCGAGCGAAACTACTCCTGAAGTATGCCGACACAATAGAAAACCACCGCGATGAGCTGGAGCAACTCCTCACCTCGGAGCAAGGCAAACCACTATCTCTTTCCAAAACCGAGATGGACTGCGCACTAACCTGGCTCCGCGCCTTCGCAACGATGGAGATCAAAGATGAGATCCTACAAGAAGACGACGAAAAGACCATCTACTCAACCCACCCACCCATCGGCGTGTGCGCGGGCATTGTACCTTGGAATTGGCCTATCCTACTCGGTCTAGGCAAACTAGGCCCAGCACTCATCACAGGAAACACGTTCATCATGAAGCCATCACCGTACACACCATACTGCGACCTCAAGCTCGGAGAGCTGGCCATGACCGTGTTTCCTCCCGGCGTCGTACAGGTACTCAGTGGAGACGACCAACTCGGCCCTTGGATAACAGAACATCCTGGCATCGACAAGATCTCGTTTACAGGATCGATAGCAACAGGCAAACTGGTTGCAGCATCTTGCGCGAAGACGTTGAAGCGGTATGTGCTAGAGCTGGGTGGCAACGACGCAGCGATTGTGTATGAAGACGTGGATATCGACAAATGTCTGCCCAAGATCGCGACATTGAGTTTTCTCAATTCGGGCCAGATATGCATGTTGACGAAGCGTATCTACATTCACGAGAGTATCTACGACACGTTCCGGGACAAGATGGTTGAGTTTACAAAGGAGAACATCAAAACTGGTGCTGGGACGGAAGAAGGCGTGATAGTAGGACCTTTGCAGAATAAGATGCAGTAAGCCACCCGTCCCTCACTCTCCCCTCTACTACCCACCATCCCACAAAAGCTAACAAAAGAACCCAGATTCGACAAAGTCCAAAACATGTACGCCCAAATCCCCCTCCAAAACTGGAAGACCGCCCTCGCCGGCACCATAACCCCAACCCCCCAAACCGGCTACTACATCACCCCCACCATCATCGATAACCCACCCGAAGACTCCCGCATCGTCCAAGAAGAGCCCTTCGGTCCCATCGTCCCACTGCTCAAATGGCGCGACGAGAACGACGTCATCGACCGCGCCAACGCGCTCAGAACCGGGCTGGGCGCATCGGTATGGAGTAAAGACATCACGCGCGCAGAGGCCATGGCACGGAGACTAGAAGCGGGGAGTGTGTGGGTGAATTCGCATTTTGATGTTGATCCAAGAGTGCCGTTTGGGGGACATAAGGAGAGTGGTGTGGGCATGGAGTGGGGGATGGAGGGGTTGAGGCATTATACTAATAGTAGGAGTTTGTGGGTGTGGAAGAGGGTTTTTGAGTAATTGAGTGGATGTTTGCTGTTGAAGCATTTGATCTGTCTCTAGAGTGGGACCATGGTTCTCTTTTGTTGTGGCACCTCATACAAGAAAAAAACTGAACAGGTCTGCAGACTACATTGACCCAAATCTTTGCAAAGTAGGTGACCTAACGTCAACGTAGGCTCCAGGCTGTTCAGTTTTTTCCTAGGTTGGCGTGGTGGCTTAAGCTTTGCTGCCGCCCCATTCTCTCCACCATTCGTAAAGTGCGATACCACCTGCGGTTTGAACGTCTGTTGAGAACGTTAGTAAAAGGGTGCTGACGTTGGCTACAAGAATGAGACTTACTCAAACTTCTGGTAACTCCCACAGTCTTGATCTCGACGTTGCGATCGATGACAGCCAGCACCTCCGCGGAGATACCTTCCTTCTCGCTACCTAGCACAAGACAGCACTTCTTGGGTAGTGTGCCAATGTCCTGACTTCTGGCCTCTTTCCTAATCGTTCCTTCATCCACAACATCATTCTTAACATCCTCAGTCCCTAATATGCCACTCCGGTCCGTCTGCTCAATACCCACAACCTCGTACCCTTTACTCTTGGCATCGAGTAAGAACGCCGGTACGCCAACCTCCTTCAGCTCAATGATAGCAAGATGCTTTTCCGATCGCACACTGGTAGCCTTGAAGTCCTTGTGCGCAACCTTCTTGAGGTCATCGATGTAGAGGGCTTCAAGACCGAAAGATTCGGATATGCGGGAGAGGCCACCGAGGTTGGTGGGGTTGTCGATGAGAGAGGCGACGAGCATGACGGATGCGGGACGGGCATTTTGCATGCTGGGTGGGCCGCCAGGTGGGTGAAGGTTGTCAAGGTCAATGCCAGCTTTGGTCTGGAGGGTGATTTGGCCGGTCGGTTCTGTGGTAGTGGTGGTGGGTACCGGGGCAGTTGTAGCTGATGTAATGACGTCAAAGCTGGGTTTGATCTTGTTCCCAAGTGCTATGCGTGCAGGTGGTGGGTTGAAACCATCTGACTGATCATCACGCTCGAGAGCCTCGAAGTCTTCATGCGTGACGAGCTCTGGTTCCGGTGTCTCAATCGACAGGTATCGGCCTTGAAAGATGCCTGTAAGGGTAAAGTCCTGTTCGATATCGACCTTTAGAGTCCTTATTGTCCAGGGAGAAGCGTTGAACTTGTCCAGTCGGCGGATGAAAGCGTTCATGCCTTTGAAAGCGGGATTCTCGGTAATCCTCCTCCAGCCCTTCTCAACAGCTATGTCAAACACGATGGGAAACGCAAAGTTTGCTTCGTGGCGGATCTGGACTTTGGGGCTGGCAGAGTAGGAGTTCAGGTGTGTGATGAGCTCTACTGCAAAGTCTTGGGTTTCGTATGGCGCGACTAGAAGACCAATCTTCATCAGACTGGCGATATGAATCGGGCTATACTCTTCCAGATTTCCTAGCTCTATCAAGATACGCTGAGTAAATTCCGGGAACCGACGGTAAATGCGAGCTATGGCCCATTCGAGCAGGTAGCGGTATCGTGGCCATGATTCTACCACTAAGGCACGAGTGAAATAATCGAGATGACTCTCCACATTTATGTCATCCGCACAGTAGTGACTCATCAATAGCATTGCCTGCAGTTGAAAAGTGTTCTTCCATGGACATTTGACTGCGACTGGTGGTTTCTGATCCTCCCAGGGAAGTTCCAACTCATCCAGTATATTCCGAGCAGTCTCTGGAGATGAGACATATGGGTCATTCGGAATACGATGTAGGATATCTATGACAGCTGCGTATGCATGCCATTCTCGCATACCGTAGTACGATGCATATGTTCGATGCGGCAGGTATTGCTGAAGCTTGTCGGCAGCGACAACCTCAAACAAAAACTCTGTTCCGATGGATGCTGGATTATTGATGAAATCGAGAATGTAGTCATCGAAGGGGAGGCCTCCCCGCAATGATTTGATTGCATATGGGTGTGCAAACACAGCTTTGCGTAGCGATCGAGCAAGTACTGCAAGAATGTAGGACCGTCCCTTGGATAGCTTCATAAGGCGTTTCATGGCTGTCCAGAGCAGACCTTGGATGTCGCAGCCACTGGGAAAGTGGTCCAGAGCGTCCTCAACACAAACTATTATGCATGTCGGATGGAATAGTAGCGCAGGCAGGTGTACAGCAAATGGTCTGATGAAGTCGCGAATCTCGGCCTCTTCCCATAGTGCTGACAACACAGTGTGCAGCTCGTTCGCGTCGATCTTGGCTGGCTCAGTGCGATCAAGAAACTCCATCACGCTCTTGCATGCTGGCGCGAAGGCTGGACCTTGTATGCAGCTATGTTTTGAGTCGCGGAGGTCGTTGATGAATGACTGAAGTGTAGGCAGCTCGCCATCACTCGTGCCAAAGGTTGCTTGGAGCGCAGAGTGATCCACTGGATCTTCCAGCTTTTGGCATTTAGCCCGCAGGGCTTCACTAGTAGGTACACCTTTCGACTGTGAATCGGGATCAAGAAGATCGCAGAGCTTTTGGCAGTGAACGCTGTGTAAGTCACTTGCTACCTCTGGCATTCCAGGCAAGCGTGATAAGCTGATGATCTCGGCAATCTCGGAAATTTCCAGTTTGTGATGCGTTGGGCTTCTTTCGTATCGCGTCTTCAGGCCTTCGCCGAGACCATGCATCATGTACAATATTGCTGGTTGAAACATCCTCCCGCCGGCATTCACGAGGTAACGAACTATGCCAAGAATGATTGCACGGCCATTTCGGTTGTCCACTCCGACTTCAGAGACGGCATAGTCGACCGAAGGGACGAATGATGGAGTGTCTTCGGTATCGGAGACAAACCGAGAGATCACTGCAGCGAGTGCGTCTCCGTGAGCGCACGTTGTCGATGATCGTGTGGCAGTAAGAGTCGATGTGAAGAGGCTACCATCCGTTGCCCAAGGCAGAAATCCCTCGAAAAGGAAGTTTATGTGGCCGCTCAAGTCACCCCGGCGCTGCGATGTCAAGTCAGCATCGGTATACTCAGCCTCTAGCAGGCCATGGCTTTCGCCCTCAGATATTATCTTGTTGCGTGGATAGTACAACAACGATAACAACGATATTGTCTATGAGAATGGCAGACATGTGACTTACTTCGATGATAAAGTCCATATACCAGCGGCCGATCATTTTCCTAACGCTCTCCTGTATCAACGGGTTTAAGGCTGCCGTGAGTAGAGTTGTCGTCATCGCGGGAGTAATCCGGGAAGGATTTGTTGCTGAAGAAGAGCCAAGAAGCGTCGTCATGGATTTCAGGCAGTCCTCGACCTGGCCAGAATACCGATGAAGCACGATGGTCTCGAATAGGGTCGTATATAGATCGTACTGCTCCCGGTCTTTGCCACTGGCATCGTATCGCATCGTGGGTGTATCGATATGGTCAGAAGTAGCAAGAAAAGACTGGCGGATGATACCGAGGCAGTATTTGCGTTGATCCGCATGGCCTTTGACAAGACCTAACCTGAGCTTTCTCCAGTATTCTTCGTTGCTCACACATGTGAATTTGAGCCCAGCGGAAGCGGCGAGCGATATCCATTGGAACCAGGTCCTGTATATGTTGCTAGACCGAGCGGCGAAACATGCCATGTCGAGTGCGTTAAGACGGTTCCATATTGATTGATCAACGACTGCATCGAGATTGGTGGGTGAGTTCTCTCTCTTGCTTTTCAGTAATGAAAAGAAAGCGGAGAGCGTATCATGTGCAATATCATCTAACCCTTCGATGCCGACGAAGCTCGAAAGGAGAGTGAGAGATTGTGTGTCGACCATGTACGAAGACGCGGCTGGTACCCAAAACGAACATTTCAGGAATTCGAGATAAGCTCTTGCAGTTTCGATGCTTTCCACATTTGCTTGTCCAGATGATAGATTCGTGGCTAGGGTAGAAAGGCTTTGGCTGAGTTTGGTGTTGAGAAGAGAAGCGGCATGCGAGCCGTGGGTGTAACATATCTCAGCAATCTCGTAGAGGCTCTCCGGTGACCTTTCGTCGACTAGACGGCCCAGCACGGTATTCCATAGTTCTTCATGCTGCGGAGTACTTCCACTCTCTCCATCGGCGATGTCGCTGGGCAAGAGTCGCACATTGATATCGAGTGCGCCGATGTCGATTCCCGATGCACCTTTTACTTTCGCCAGGCTGCCCTCAAACGCTACTTTTCGGGTATGTTCGTCCAAAAGACTTAGTACTGCAGCGGTAGCCATGTCTGGTGACGGCAAATGAATCTTGCGCGGGCGTGATAGGCCTCACTGGTATTGTGCTCCTCAAGCGAAGTGTGGACAAGCCGTTGTAGGTATTCTGACCTTAAAGTTGACCGCTGGATGCCTGTTCTCATTAAATGAGTAGAGGTAAGCAAGTCGCGCGCGTGTGGATATTAGGTCGAGCGGAGTTCTGCTAATTGCATTGTTAGAGTTCACGTCGCAGGGTCGACACCAGTCACATTTTGCGCCCGCCTCAGATGGAAAATTTAGTCGCTACTGCGATGCACCGCCGGCCGAAACTGCGATACTGACAACATCAGTCCAACAACGTAACGAAACGAACAAGAAGCCGTGTAAGATTGCGATAGGCAATAAATCAAAGTCTCGTATCGACGAGAGAACGCGACTTGAATTGGAACATGTTGAGTGGAAGGCGCTGGGACGAAAGCCGTCATTGGTGACTGCAAGGTATCCGACCGAGAGTCCTTGATCCTTCACCGGTTGCTCATGCCAGAGCAGCACTGCATGCGTCTAGACAGCTTCACCGTCTATTGATGCCATGGACAGGTCAGCTAGCTCTTGCTTTTGGCCAGGTCGTCCTGTCGCGTCGTGTTGGGAGACGAGGGCTGCTGTGGATACTCGTCAGTGTGTACCTGGAGACAGATCCGAGCTGATCTCACCACACAGTATCTCCCCAGCAGATCTCGGGAGCTATTAGACATCCCCTTTGGTCTGGTCGCGTCGCGCTGTGATGGCGCGCGCGTCAGTGGGGAGCTTGGCAGTGACGTGTTATCGATCGCACACGGCAACCGCGTGTTGACACGGCCCAAACAATGGCCCACGAGTCATGGGCAGAGCGATCCGTGCTCCACCTCAACACCGCCTATGCACCTGCTGTACATTCACCGGTCGCAACAGCTCTTGGACTCTTGCTACCTCATACTAGACGATATCTTGGACTACAGAATGTATCCCCTACACACGACCGCCTCTGCGCCTTCCATGCGCGCATCCGACGCATCGTATCTTCAGGCGCTCTCATCACCCGCGCCCATGAACGACGACCCCGGCAATGTCAAGGTGGTGGTGCGATGTAGGGCCTTTGTGCCGAGAGGTAGGATCATAGTACCCAATCGGTGTTTATAGAGACTGACAAAGGCTATAGAGAAGGAGAAGGGCACAAAATGCCTGATTCGCATGGACCCAGCGACGCAAAAGACAACACTCTATGCGCCAGAAGAGAGCGGGAACAGCGGACGCCGTGTTCTGGACGACAAGGAATTCACATTCGATCGCTCATACTGGTCGCACGACGAGTCCGACCCGCACTACGCTCACCAAGAAGACGTCTACCGCTCTTTCGGTGAGGAGTTCCTCGACCACAACTTCGGAGGATACCACACATGTATTTTCGCATACGGTCAGACGGGATCGGGAAAGAGTTACACCATGATGGGCACACCAGACAACCCAGGCTTGATACCGCGAACTTGCGAGGAGCTGTTCGATCGCATCGCACACGAACCGTCGCCCAACACCAACTACCACGTCCAAGTCTCTTACTTCGAAGTCTACAACGAGCACGTGCGAGATCTGCTCACCCCGAGGACGACCCCGCCTATCTATCTCAAGATCCGCGAGAGCCAGAAGGATGGTGTATACGTGCAGGGCCTGACCGAGGCTGAAGTCAAGAGCTACGCTGATGTTGCGCGCCTGATGAAGATTGGCGACATGGTAGGCGCATCTCTACATACTTATCCAGCGACATACTAACAAAAGCACAGAGCCGAACGACAGCCTCCACCAAGATGAACGACACCTCGTCACGATCCCACGCCGTCTTCACTATCCGCCTCAAGCAAATCACCCACTCGCTTCTCTCCGATGAGACCATCGAACGCACAGCACGCATGCGCCTCGTCGATCTCGCTGGCTCTGAACGTGCCAAGTCGACCGAAGCCACCGGAGCTCGCTTGAAGGAGGGAGGACAAATCAACAAGTCTCTTACTACACTTGGTCGCGTCATTGCTGCACTGGCAGACCCAAGACGACACGGTGCGAAGGGACGACGACCACGGGAGGTTGTGCCGTACCGTGATTCGGTCTTGACCTGGCTGTTGAAAGACTCGTTGGGTGGTAACAGCAAGACAGCCATGGTTGCTTGCATTGCGCCGGCCGACTACGATGAGACTCTTTCCACCCTACGTTACGCCGACCAGGCAAAGCGCATTCGCACACGCGCTTTGGTCAACCAGGACTGCATGTCGGCTGCACAGCGAGACGCTCAGATCGCAGAGATGTCAGAACAGATCCGCAGTCTACAAGTCTGTGTCAACGCGGCCAGTCAACGCAAGAGGGAGGAAGCCACCGAGCTGGACGAGTACCAGAGGCAGGTCGCACTGATGCAGCGCCTCATGGAGGAGAACCGCCAAGTCTCGGCTGCGAAGATCAAGGCACTCACCTCGGAAGTCGAGGAGCTGCGTCCCACAAACGTAGCTCTACGCGCAGAGATCGATTCATTGCGCCGCCATCTCCAGCTCGCTCTGGGAGAGCTCAAGAACCCCATCGTCCTGCCACCACCTCGAGAGCTTGGTACGCCAGACTTCGAGAATGAGTCATGGCTAGGCGAAGGCGAGGGTAAAGATGGATCGATCCCTGCTCCTGATGGTGAGGCCAGCGATGATGACTCTGATTCAGGCTATGATGAGGGTGACCACGATGAGTTGGCGCAGGAGTTGCACAATGAGGCAGAGGCCTTCCTCCAGGACCTGGGCATGTTCCGCAAGAAAGTCGGCAGCGATGTCGATCGCTTCGGTATCCGCGAGACACTGGCTGAGCTCATCGGAGGTCATTGAGCAGATGTGTTCTGATGTTGATTATGCGACTTGGTTGGGAGGAAATCGGACTTCTAGGCGCACAGATTGGTTACGAATGCATGAGCGACGGCGTTTTCTTCAAGTTGGATTTGGCAGTACCCAAGATTAGTATACCAGTATATAGTTAGCAAAAAATGAAAGATATCCCACGAGTCTCGATGAGTTCTGCGGAGAGTTGACGTGAGCCGAACATTACATTACAACAGACGCGGAAGTACACATTGCCATATCATGCTTAAAGTCATACAAGTAAGAAACGAAGCGCATGTTCGCTAGATTTGGTTTTTGGGCGCCCTACCCAAAGGCAACCTTCGCAGGCGCGACAGCCTCGGCGGCAGAGCTATGACCTCAACTCGAAGCTCCATGCAGGCACCCCAAGCCTCCGACAAGTTCGCGCGATGATAGCCCGATAGTCGCGCCCAACCATGTCCAAGCCAACAGCCAACTGGGAAAAGGTCGGCGACAAGTTCTACAGGAAGGTGCAGCTCTACCAGGCTGTCTTCGACGCGGATCTCGAGCTCGAGAACTACAATGTGGTGGGGGCGCCGTATAGCGGTGCTGTAGGTAGGTACGTCCCACCGTCTGCCGACGACTGCGCGAACATGTGACCAGGCGACTGACTTCTATAGCCGTCTACCGCGATGAAGAGAAGCTGCATACCTACCGTGGTCCCGGCGCGTCCAAATCGAGCATCGACATCTACAGCTGCGCGGGCAAGCTGATTCGTAGCATCAACGTATGCAACCCTCTACATGTGCCGGGAGATGAAGGACGGACTACTGACAGGCGATAGTGGGACAAAGGCACAATCAAGGGCCTGGGATGGTCGGAAGACGAAAAGCTGCTGGTCATCACCTCGGACGGAACGGTGCGCTGCTACTACGACCTCCAAGGCGACTTCGTGCCCTTCACCCTCGGCCACGGCGCAGACGAATACGGCGTACTCTCATGCAAATTCTACAACACGGGATTTGTAGCGCTCCTCGGGAACAACCACCTCATCTCAGTCACCTCGTACGCCGAACCGCGCCCCAAACTCCTCGCTATACCGCCGACTGAACCCGTCATATCATGGAGCATCATACCACCTGCCTACTCGCTATCGCGATCGGTGGAAGTCATACTAGCGATTGGGTCTACGCTGTATGTCGTCGATGCGACTGAGGCAGAAGATCGCAACTTCGATGCCGGACCGTTCAGGCACATCAGCGTCAGTCCGCGCGCGGAGTTCCTAGCCTTCTACACAGAGGATGGAAAGGTGTGGGTTGTCAGCGGCGACTGGAATGACAAGCTCAGCGAGTACGACAGCAAGATCAAGACAGTGCCGAAAGACATGGAATGGTGCGGCTCGAACGCCGTCGCGTTAGCCTGGGAAGACGAAGTACACCTGATCGGCCCTCGAAGTGCCGCGACTAAGTTCTACTACGACACCTGGGTGCATCTCTTGCCGGACGTCGATGGCATACGGCTCCTCACGAACGACGTCTGCGAATTCATACAAAAGGTGCCGGATGAGGCGGTGGATGTCTTCAGGCTGGGCTCCGACTCGCCTGCTGCAAACTTATTGGAAGCGTCCTCGCTCCTAGAACAGAAGAGCCCAAAGGCCGACGACCTCATACAGCTGATACGACCGAGTCTGGGAGAGGCGGTGGACACATGCATCAAGGCCGCTGCGCATGAGTACAACATCCACTGGCAAAAGTCGCTGCTGAAAGCAGCTTCGTACGGAAAGTCAGTGCTGGACCTGTACTCGTCTGACGATTTTGTCGACACGTGCGACACACTACGAGTTCTGAACGCTGTGCGCTTCTATGAGGTTGGCCTGCCGCTCAGTTACGACCAGTATCGCCGCATGACGCCTGAGAAGCTCGTTGAGCGTCTCACGAACCGCAGCGAATACCTTCTTGCATTGCGCATAGCCGAGTATCTGCATCTGCCAGCAAACCAGATTCACGGACACTGGGCGCAACAGAAGGTGCGCGTCTCGACGGACCCAGAAGAGGAGATTTGCAGTCTTATAGTTAAGAAACTGCATGGCAAGCCTGGTGTCTCATTCGAAGAGATCGCACGGGCGGCCTACGATGAAGGTCGCGTGCGACTGGCGACGGAGCTTCTCAATTACGAACCCAGAGCTGGCAAGCAAGTACCGCTACTACTCAACATGAAGGAAGACAACATTGCGCTCGACAAGGCGATCGAGTCGGGCGATACCGATCTCATCTTCCACGTTCTCCTACACCTACGCAAGAAGCTACCTCTTGCCTCCTTCTTCCGCGTCATCAACAGCCGTCCGGTCGCCACAGCTCTGGTCGAGTCGTCAGCCTGGGACCAAGACCGTGAGCTACTGAAAGATCTCTACTACCAAGACGACAGGAGACTCGACGGCTCGAACCTCTTACTATCCGAAGCAATCGCACAGGAAAGCCATCCAGCCCAGCAAGACAAGTTGAAACTAGCGTCAAAGTACCTCCAAGATTCACGCGACAGCGCGGCCGTCTTCCAGCGCCAAGCTATAGACGATGCTGCCAAACTGCTCCGTCTCCAACACCAGTTCGAAACAGACCTCAACGGACCGAGAGACCCAACACCCGCAGGTGCGCTACCAGGTCAAACATACATCGGTCTCTCAGCAAACGAGACAATCTTTCAACTCATCCGCCAAGGCCACTATAAGCGCGCCCAAAAGGTGCAGTCAGAGTTCAAGATCAACGACAAAACATACACATACATCCGCCTCCGCGCCCTCGTCGCAGCGCGGCACTGGAACGAGCTCGAGGAATTTGCAAAGCAAAAGAAGAGCCCGATTGGCTGGGAGCCTTTCTTCAACGAGGTCCTTGGTGCGGGAAACACCAGAGTAGCGAGTGTCTTTATCCCCAAGTGCACAACGCTGACGGTGCCGGAGAGGGTCGACATGTGGATCAAGTGTGGGTTGATGGTCAAGGCGGGTGAAGAGGCGTTTAAAGCCAAGGATAGGGAGCTGTTGCAACAGATTAGGGATAAGGCCGATGGGAGTACGGCGATGGAATTGGAGAGGTTGTTAGGGATGCTGCCGCAGGGGAAGAGGTAGGCGGTTGGGTTTGTGGGTGGGTTATGTAAACGAATGGCGCAGTGGTGGATATGAATATGGGCTGGTGTATAGTAATCGTTCACGTGTATTAAGTCTGGATTGGTGCTGACATGTCCTGCATAAAGCGCGAAATACTCTTGACTGGCTTCTCTTCTCAGTTTGCGACAGCAAGTGTCACAGGAAATCTGTCTTTATACGGATAGCTTAGAAGGCTACATTAAGCTGAGTATATAAGTAGGTGAGCGTCATGAAACAGGTAGAAGGCTACATTGAGTTGAATGTATAGACAGGTGGATATCATCGATCAGGTAGGAGTATACAATGCCCATGAGCTCTCTAAACTTTCTTCCTGTATCTTGTTGTAGACTGCAGTTTGTCAGAAGCTTTATCAATTCCTGCTCAATCGCCTCATTGTATGCATCAGGATCAATTTCTGAAGGTATGCTATCCTGCTCTCCCCTCATTGTATTCACCAAAATTATCATCTGGAAGCATGCCATCTAGCCTCCTCTTTTCCCAAGTCCAAGCTCCCGTTCCAAGACATCGGGACGTGGAGGCAGGCACACCCGGCAAATCCCCGGGTCGCTACTTCTTCGGGGGAAAACCCACACTAGCGTCAGCCATGTGCAGAAGACCGACCCGCAGTGGCTGCGAAAACGACTCGCTTCCCCGCAATGGCTAGGATGGGTACCGGGGCTAGGTGCAGGCTCCGCGATCTAACGAAGAAATTCGTCGCTCGACGTCGTCATCTCGGTGTGTACTCATCCGAACCGCCTCCAGATCTTCAAATCGGCAAATGAGTGTGGGAATCGAAAACGGGGTCATGGCTTTGGCTATGGTGCCGGAAGGCAGCGGGAGGGGAAGGTACATAAGCCTTGGATCATCAAGAGCTTGAATAGGGTGTAGGATTGGAGATACCCGGATTCGATCGACATATACGCAAACATGAGGTTCTTCAACTCTCTAGTCAGCTTCGCGGCTGTCGTACCTGTCGCGCTCGCATCGATACCTTACTCGCAATACATCCTCGCGCCCAAATCACGAACCCTCCATCCCATCTCCGTACACAGCACTAACGGCTCCGTCACCCACCCCGAGAGCCTTACCAGCGCGAATGGCAGTTCCGTCTTCACCGGCGAAGCAGCAACAGCGTACGACTTCGGCATCAACATCGCGGGTCTCGTCACCGTAACAATCGGCTCTGTTAACTCGTCCTCCGAATACATCGGCGTCACCTTCTCCGAAAGTTCGTTATGGGTCAGCAATTGGAGCAGCGACGCGACGGCCGATGCAGGAAAGGACGAGACGCTCTGGTTCCATGTTAATGGTACTGGGCGGTATACAGCGCCGAAGGAGAAGGTGAGGGGTGGGTTTAGGTACATGACGTTGGTGCATAATGGGACTGGGAGTGTAGAGGTGGCAGGCGCGGAGGTACATTATACTGCTATGCCGCATTGGGAGGGGGATGCGTTGGGGAATTATACGGGATATTTCCATTGCGACGGTATGTCATTCATTGTTTGCTTGCTTCTGTCGCTTGGGTAGAAAGACTAACGTGTTGCAGATGAGCTGCTCAATCGCGTATGGTATGCCGGAGCGTACACGAACCAGATCTGTACGATTGAACCAGACACCGGCAATGCGCTTGTTCATCTGCGCGAAGAAGGTTTCTCGAGTGAGGACGACCAGTCGCCGGTTAATGTTACTTGGTATAACAACTATACCATTACCAGTGGCAAGAGTGCGCTGGTTGATGGTGCAAAGAGGGATAGACTTGTTTGGGCTGGCGGTACGTTGATACATCCCCCATCACTGAGTGCACACTGACAGGCATTGGTAGACATGGCGATAGCAGTCCCCGGTGTCGTGGTATCGACAAACGATGTCATTTCCATTGAGAATGCATTGGACTCGCTCTTCGAGGTACAGAACGCGACGAATGGTCTACTCCCATATGCCGGAAGGCCTTTCCCTCCCCAGGCGATATCGTTCACGTACCACCTATACACTCTGATCGGTGTCGCTGACCACTTCCTCTACACTGTAAGACATCCCGATCAAATCCTTCACACTCGCTGACCACTTCTCCAGGGCGACATGGACTACCTCAAATCTCTATGGGACAAATACAAATTTGCCCTCTCCTTCTCCCTCTCCAACATCGACTCCAGCGGCCTCATGAACGTAACTGCGCCCAACGACTGGCTCCGCTTCGGCATGGGCGGCCACAATATCGAAGCAAACGCCATCCTGTACTACACCATCAATCAGGGCATCTACCTCGCCTCAGCTTTGAACGACACAGCCAACATTTCTTCCTGGCAAGAAACAGCTGATGGTATCAAGACCGCCGCCAATGAACTTCTCTGGGATGAGCAAGAGGGCATGTACCGCGACAACGAAACCACAACGCTCATGCCCCAGGACGGAAACGCCTGGGCCGTCGTCGCAAACCTCACAGTGAACAGCACACAGACGAGTATGATCTCACAGAATTTGGTCTCGCGATGGACGCCGTACGGTGCCCCTGCCCCCGAAGCCGCAGACGCCATCTCACCCTTCATCTCCGGCTTTGAACTGCAATCCCACTTCCTCGCACAGAACACAACCGCTGCGTTGGAGTTGATGCGTCTACAATGGGGCTTCATGCTCGACGACCCTCGCATGACAAACTCAACCTTCATCGAAGGATACAGCACGACTGGCGAACTCCACTACGCGCCCTACAACAACGACGCACGCATCAGCCACGCCCACGGATGGGCAACAGGACCGACATCCAGCCTCACACAATATGTCGCCGGTGTACAGTTACTCACTGCTGGCGGAGCAACATGGCGTATTGCGCCTTCGCTCGGCGATCTCAAGTTTGCGGATGCGGGCTTCAGGACGAGTTTGGGTTTCTTTGGCGCCAGGACACAGGTGTTGGATGGTAGCATAATGTTGGACTTTGAGGCGCCGGAGGGGACGGTGGGAGAGGTTAGGATGCCGGTGATGGAATGTGCGGGACGGGTGGTCATGAGTGGAATGGAGGGGCTGAGTGGGGATGTTGTTGTTGAGGTTATGGCTGGGCAGGGGGATGTGGATGTCAAGGATGTCAAGGGTGGGAGGTGGACGGCTACGTTTAGGTGTACTTGAAGAGTAGACGTATGAAGATCATTGAATGTCTAACAATTCTGGTATTGAGATGAGCAATTGAACCGCAATAGTATGTTTGTGGTCGGTGCCACGATACACGGCTCACATACCGACTACCCTGGTGTAATCCCATCTTGATACGGACCAGACTCCGTGAACACGAGATGTTTGCTTCTCCTCGGCTTCAGCAAAGCGCAAAGCAGGCTGCGAAAGGCCCGTACACGAACTGCGTTAGAGCGCAAGAACTATTACACGCGCCTATATGAGGTCGACATAGCAACGGGTATGGAAAAGAAATCTCAGCTGCCGGGAAGCGGCAGAGCTGAGGTTGGTGCAGGATACTTTTCTGGGTCCGGACTATCAGCGGATAAGAAACAGGGAACCATCGGCCCACTACGACCAGAGTCCTTCACCAACAGAAATCCTTCACGATGGCATGTTGGACACAGGCTCAGTACAGTAAGCCGGATGGTTATTCGTCGAGCATTGGACATGTTTCTCCAGGGTAGTGGTGTCCTGTCAAAGTCTAAAAGCGACCAGGCGGCCAGGCAACGAGGCAACAAGTGTCGAGTAGTCCAGGTCAGCATATAGCACGGGTATAGCCAGCTGGGAATGTAGCAAATACCGGTCATGTTGACATGCAGATTACCAGCACCATCCATGCTGTACCGCCTACCCCGCGCGTCTGAGTGGCGGAGGGCGATCGTGTGAAACGAGGCGTTCTCGTGATGGCGCGCTACATGGACGCGCCCGGGACGTCGCTGTGCCAACGGCATCCTTGGCGCATTGTTCCAAAATAGTGTCGCGCAAACCACTATGACCACCCGCTTGACTCTGATCTGCGGCCCATCCCCAGCATTGCATCACTTGCGTCTTGTGTATACACATCTCGAGCATTGCTTCCTTGCACCGGCCTGGCATACAAGAAGAGTGCTGTTTGAGCCATTCCCTCGTTTTACGCCTTCTCCTCCTGCTCGGCCTCTTGCGACCGCTTGCATCTCGCTTCCCCACTACTATCCACTACCACGTCAGAGTCAGGACTCATCACACCGCATCCCATTGCTCGCGCAAAGTTTCTCCGCCCCACTGGACGCGGTCACATTGCATGCGCGTTTGAGCCTCGCATCTCGCTGGCGGGTCTGCAGCCACCATGGACACGAGCTACCTCGCCCAGCAGGTCACCACCATCATCGGCCAGCTGCACGGCTTGTTCGACGACATTGGCGTCCCCAGCCATGAGCGCGAATCACGCGAAGCAGAGGTGAGGATAGACGAAGTGTATGCGCGCGCGATTGCTGACTTGTGTAGTTGTTCTCTGCTCTGTCCGAGACGCTCCACAATCAATTGCGACAGGTCACCAGCGAGAAGCATGAGATGACAGAAGAGGCGCATCGCCTGCTCAAGACTATCCGCCAGATGGAGGCTTCGCTCGATGACAACAAGCCCAACCCCAACTATGACGACCAGGACGACCGGGCCATCACCTTCCCCTTGACGCGCTGCCTCCAGGGCCTGAAGGAGCGATACAACTCGGTCAGCAAGATGCACAAGGAGCGCTTCGAGCAGGTCAGGAAACTGGCCGAAGCCCTGGAATCGTATGCGTCGCATCTCGAATCGTCCTTCGTGCAGGTCAAACTCCCGCCCACCGCGCCCAACGCGAAAGTCTCGCCCTCTTTCGACATCTCGCCCTCCTACGTCACCAAGCTCGACAACGAATTCACACGCGTATACGAGGAATACACAAAGCGCCTAAACACAGTCCAGGTCATCTGCCAGGAGATCATCCAGCTTTGGGCAGAACTCGGCACACCACAAGCGCAAACGGACAGCGCGATCGTGCAATGTCATCGCGACGCGCCTGAACAACTCGGCCTGCACAAGGACGATCTCGCGCAATTGAACGCGAAGAAGGAGCGACTTGTCGAGGAGAAGCGCGGTCGCGAACGACGGTTAGGGCAGCTGCGCACAACCATCGAGGAACTCTGGGACCGCCTGGGCATTGAGGAGCGCGAGCGCAAGCAATTCCTCACCAGCAACCGTGGATGTGGCCTGCGCATCATCAACGAGTACGAGGATGAGCTGGCCAGGTTGAACGAGCTCAAGCGCCAGAACCTACACTTGTTCGTCGAGGAGGCGCGCGTTCAACTCCAGGAACTATGGGACGCTCTTTACTTCTCCGAAGAAGAGATGCTCGACTTCACGCCCGCCTTCTCCGACGTCTGCAGTGACGCTCTACTCGCCGCCCACGAATCCGAAATCGCACGTCTCGAAGCGCTCAAGGAGCAACGGCTACCTATACTTCAAAAGATCGATCGCCACCGCGAGCTGATTCAAGAACGCGATGAGCTTGCACAATCGAGTCAGGACGCGACCCGCCTGATGGCGCGCGGCAACAAGGGCGAGAGGCGCGACCCAGGCAAGCTCCTGCGCGAAGAGAAGATGCGAAAGCGCATTGCAAAGGAGCTGCCCAAGATTGAAACAGTAAGTCACCTTAGTCAAGGAGCAGGAACTGAGCTAACACGTCATAGGATCTCAGAGTCACCCTCGAGAGCTGGGAAGACGAATACGGACGTCCTTTCCTTGTCCACGGCAACCGATACCTCGACGAACTATACGCAGCCGCGCAAAAGGCAGCCCCACCACCTCGCGCAAAGACACCCTCGAACAGCGGTATGCCTACCAAGCCAGCCACGGTTGGCAGAGCCTCAGCAGCGCCTAGCCGCGCCGGAACAGTTCGTGGTGCGCCACCCAGCCGATCAAAGACCCCCGTATCGAACTTTGGCCAGAGTGTATCCGCAGCAAGCATGTCTCGTAGCACTTTCGCGCAATCAGTGGGCCCCAACTTTGGTGCTTCGGTGTCGGCATCGGCCCAAAAGAGTCCTTCCAAGATTCCTTCTCGTGCGGGACTGAATGGTACAACAAACGGCAGGAGCTCACCTGAGAAGCGACCACAACTCTCACGAGAAGATTCGGCCACGATGCGCAAGATGGCGCCACCTATGGCTCCTCCCCCACGTATGAAGGATCTGTTCGTCCCTCCAGAGCCAGCACCAATGGAGACACCGATGAACCGCTTCGAGTTCAACCGTGGAGACCGCAGTGAGAGCATCGTGCGCAACGTACAACCAGAGGACCCCTACGACGACCGATCCTTCATGGGACGTACCATGCGAGGAGGCTACACACCCACATACCCACCGCCATCACTATCATCCGCTAGCAGTCGACAAATATCACAAACCTCGTCCACAGGCACAGCCGCTACAGGCATGACCATGCAATCCGGCTCCGAGAACTGGGAAACGTTTAGTGAACAGTCCGACGAGGTACCGGAGGAAGAAGTCGACTTCCACGCCTACCGGCGGCAGATGAAGCGCTACACACCCGAGGGCGGCCATGTCGCCAGCCCGGGTAGAATCCAAGGCAAGAAGGTCCGCGGTATACGGAGCGTCGACACGGGCGAACTGTTAACCGAGCAGGACGGTCGCATGGTACGCGTGATCGAAGGCTCAGAAGCGGGCTGGACAACTGACGGCGACGGGTACTGAGTAAAGTACCCTATCCACTTGGACACTTTCTTCTCATGTCGACACGACTGCATGGCTTTCATGCTCCACGACGCTTATACCGCCACGGCCGTTCATCACTTTCCGGCTCACCGAGCCCTGTTAATTGCTCTTCCTTAATTCGTGTGTGCATACTTTGCGGCTCGGCGTTACTGGACCCTGAAAATTTTCTCTTCTTGTCGACTCATCCTCGCTGCCGCAACGGCACGCACAAGCGGGCTGGGATAATCGCCACGCTATGCCACGTACTTAGAGTACGTTCGACAGGGTAGTGCGCTGCATGTCACTTCCCGCAATGCGACCGGTGCGGCGCCTGTTTTGGGTAACGCAGCATGTACCTGCCCAGGTGGCTCTTTTATTTCTTCACATCACTTGCTTCTTTTTCAGCGGTAGGGTGGTGGATCATCCGGCGTTGGCGACCTCGGAAGCGTATATCTGGATAGCGCGCCATGCGCTACCTTGCTTGTGTCTCGTTTGCGCGTTTTGCATGTTCAAATTTCCCTTGTGCGAGGATGAAGCGAGAGAAGTGTGCGTAAGGCATCCTCTCTGTGAGTGGAAGGCAGATCTGTGTGTTGGCGAGGAGACGTGTACTATTACGATTGAACAGAATCCAGAACATTGCAAAAACTTGTGCGACTATGCCGTGACTGATGCACGAGGATGCCGAAATTTGTGATGCATTGGACGCCTACACAGAAGTAATATACCATCAACTTTATTACATACTACGCGTAGACGAATACACACTCATGTATCCAATGCCTTGATTAGCGAAAGGCGGTCACGTAGGCGGCAAGCAACCACCAACTCGTGCCTTCCTGTGCGAGTAAAGATGATTGACATGAAACAATGCGAGCGCACGATGGCGGGTCGGTGCCGAGGGCCAAGAGACGATCACGGGAAGCTTGGGTACACGATAGAAGGTCACTCCGTTCCTTCCTCTTTCGCACAAGAGATCCCTTAAGCTCGAAGCAGCAGGTGCAGTTACCGTGACAGAGCTCTATTATGCAAGGCCGTTGGGGAGCCTCAATCTCGAACTAAATTCTCACAAGGACACGTGCCTTTCGTTCTACCTACCGTGAACTACTCACCAAGGCCACGACATGACGACAATGACGAAGTTGGTGTCCAGAAAAGGGCCGGTATGGGAAGTGTGTAGAGTGGCACAGTGGGAATAGACTTTCTCTCCACTCCACATCCACCATGCTTTTTTGCCTCGACAGTGGAGGGCAGCGGGCATGCACCCCGCAGGAATCCGCGGCCTAGCGTGCGAGACGGCGCCGGGCTGCACGACACATGGTGGATGTGGTTAGATGGAATTAGAGGCAGGTAGCGAGATATTGGCACAGAGATAAGGATAGCACATCTGACAGGCCCGGAGCGATTCCACACAAGCCAACCGTGACCGGAAGGCAGGCAGGCATGCGACCGTCTTGCCGCGGGGAGCGCTGCGTGCATACAGACTCCTAGCTGCAAGCCACGTTACAGTCATCGTAGATGCCTAGCAGATGGGAGGTGCGGGTGAAGGAGTCATGATGACGGGGTGCGCTAGTGTGGATTTTGAGTGAATGCTAAGCCGGTGATTGTGTAGGTTATGAGACCCAACGTCTCATGTGATGGCGCGCAACGTGCTGGTTTCTCTGTAAAAGGATGGCTTCCAGAAGACGGCCGGCGTGGGGCGAGGACGCGACAGGGCTGACGGAGGCGGAGGTGGCGGCTAGGGCCAATCAGGGGATGCCCGAAGGCGATCACGACTGCTCGAGTGTTGTGCATGCGGGACCGACCGGGGCTGAGAGCTGGTATGCTCGTGTGAAGCGTGATCAGCGCAGCAGTGGGCGTGGCGCTGGCAGAAGGCCACGCAGTCTTATCCTCAGCCGCCAGTATCTGGTCCGAGAAACGTGCCTGGATGCGAGCTGGCCTGGGTGTGTGCTTTTGGTGTCTTGTCTTGATAGGGAGGCTGCCGACAGGAGACCTCCCACGCTGCCCTTATTACTTATCGCCGCCCGATAACCCTGAGACCCCAACGTCGTCATCCTCCCTTATCACCACCGAAGAACCGCCTCGAGTCCACCACCATAGTATTTACTTCTTCATAGCATCCTCGCCTTTTTTGACTTTGCCTACCCTCGTGTGCGAAAGCAGAGCAGTGCGTCGGCGATCTTCGGCACACGTAAACCCTGTAGTCTCATGTCGCCCGCGACCTGCCCTTGCAGACCCGTCCAATCGCCAACCAGCAATAACGTAAAGAAATCCGACGGCCGCACGTCACATCCAGCCTAGCCAGCACCAGCCGTACCTGGATCGTCCCAGCTGTTAGTCACGGGGAAAACGCCTTCAGGGCCCAAGCCGACGATAATGATGTACTCGCCAAGGTCCTTTCCCTACCTCCAGCACTCGTCTCCGCCATCCTCACGCACCTCCCGCTCCAGGCCTGAAAAGATGGGCACGCGAACGCGATCCAGTCCCTCTCCGAGAAGTGTCATGCCAGTCACTGTGGGAACCAACACGCAATCTATGAATAAGAACGGGTCCCTCTCACATACCGAGGCTACAACCATGTCTCAGCCCGTCGTTATTCCTCCTCGAACCCCCATCAAGTCGGCAACTTCAACACAGACTGTGAGAATGAGGGGACACAATGGAGGCAGACCGTCTCGCAATTCACAGAGCCACGATGCGAAAGCCCTACCACCGGCCGTTGCAGCCTTGCTGGCCGTTACCGCTATCCCCAAGATGCCCACCCGCCGACGACCACGCACTACTACCGAACGGAGGATATCCATGGACGAGTTGATACAGGAGTGGAAGCAGGACGATTCTGACACTCCACCCTCAATGGTCGGCTCGCCCATGGACCTGCTTCTTGGTCGCGTGGACGAGTCGGACGATGAGTACAGCAGCGTTTTGAGCATGGAGCAAGAGAAGGGCTCTTTCCTGACGTCTAGGTCCATCTCGAGCGACTCAATATCCACCCTACCGCCTTCCCTGGACTACGAAGACCCGTCGTTCGCGTCGCATTGGGACAATCTCAGTACACCAGATTCCTTGGGAAGAAAGTCACTGCCAGAGCGCAGGGAGAAGATTGTCTCTTCACCACCAAAGGAGGACTGCGTCTTGGACCATCCCCTGCTCCATTTTGGACCGGACGAATGCGAGGACATTATTGCGACAGACATCAACGAGACTGTCACTCCCGTGCCTTCAAACGAACGATTTAGGTCATTCAAGTCAAACCTGACTGCATCACTCCAAGCACTCAAGTCAGCCGCCAAGTCCTTCTCCAACTTCACAGCTCCCAGCGTTCCGCCGGATGACTTCCTTACTCGGTCGCTGTTGGCACCCAACTACACAAGCGAGATGCGACCGAAGCACGTCGAAGGCCTGCCATCACCCGAATTGCGACGATACCTCAACCCACAGCCCTCACCAATCTCACCGACTGAGTTGTCAATGCATTTACACGACTCTCTTACCCTCGATGCCGACGCCGAACCCCACGCGCCGATGATCCAAATGCAGACATACGAACGCCGAGGGCGATCACAAAAGTCGCGCCGGAGTCGCTCCACGGATCCCTTTTCCGAAGCAGGTCGCGTCCTGTCAACCGACGCACCTACCGTCCGGCAGCGCGAGCCACGCGAGAATAGCGACTTTCTACGTGTCATCGTGCTCGAAATGAACATGCGCCGTGTGGGCAAGCTCGACACAAAGGCCGTCGGCAAGGCGCGTATTTGGTTGCCGCCAAGAAAGCCTGGGTCTAGCAAAGCACCTTCCCTTCACGGCGCAAGCGGTGTGCCGCTTAGATGGACTCCCGTTTACGCTGCGTGAATGCGCTACGGCTAGCAATTTCATCAGGCCGTCCTGTTGCGTCAACAGGCTGGGTTGGGCATGCACGCAGCACTCGGTACGGTACCCTCGACACGTTCACCACGAGCACGACACGAGCATGTCGCATGCATGCATGCAAGCATGTCGTGTCGAGCTCCACCCACGTAGCGCATCGCAAATGCACAGGCAGGAATTCGATCCTTGGTCATTGGCAGACGCGACATGCAGCCCTGTCAAGCTCGACGATCCCGGATTCAGAGTCTCCGAGGATCGCATCACCTGCCTTGGCATAGCGCGCGCTCGCTCGCGGATTCTAGTGGAGCCGCCAATCGAGCAGAATTCCTGGTCTTGGTATAGGACAACGTCACAGCCCGCACCGTTGGATCTGGCTGCGGATACTCGCGACATGGGGTCGCACGTGTCGTGGATATTTCTGGTCGCGAGACATCGTCAAAGCAAGTTTCTCGACCAAGGAGTCAAGTCAGTCATGGGAAGGTTGGCCGCGCGAGGTCGCTCGGCGATACGCACGTCTCGGTGGTTCGTCGGGACCCGTGACCTGCTTTCCACACTCACACGACACACGGTTGCGGAGCAAGACGTCACACGTCGCATGCACACAGGCGTCGCCTCTTTCCGCTGCGCAACGGTCGCCCATACTCCACCTTCCGTCCGGTGAATGACCTGTCCCCGTCACGATAACTCGCTTGCGCAAAAGCTGGGGACCTTTCTCACGATGCCACTTTCGCAAGTCCCGTCCCCACCCGGCATCCGCAATGCCGGGTCTCGCCGATAGACGCCCGTCCGCCAGGTTCGACTCGCGACACGGTGGGGGTACACGACCCGGCACATTCGTGTTACATGTTTGTATCGAGCAAATGGCTTGCCCGAAGGCCTACGAGACATTTCCGAGGCGGCTATGAGTTGATTTTTTTTTTCTTTCCGTTCGTTTTCTTCTCTATATTGTCATGCGCATATTAGCGGAGCCTCGCGGCATTTGCCAGATTAACCATTTCCTTTTTTTCACGTCAGATCTTTTCTTTCCGCGATTGTTCGATGCATGGGGCATGGGTACCGGCGTTTGCGCGATGGGAGCATACGACGGTCAAGCGCTGACCGCAAGAATTTCTCTCTTTTCTTTTTGATAGTCAATGGGTCTGTGTGCGTTTTCAGCGTCGCGTAGCATATTGGTATATCCGCATCGCGTGGCATCGTATCTGATCGTATCGTGTCGTATCGCGTGTTCGCGATTTAGATTGCATGACTTCACAGTCACACATTTGATTCGGCATGTTTACCGCATTCGCTTCGAGGCATATATACACATCAACAGCACAAGTACATATCTAAACAATTCAAAACATCAAATATACAATCAGTGCAAGCAATCTAGTGCATGTGACATGTGCTGTATGCGCGACCTGGCATTTTCGCTACAATGTAGTGACAGAAAGTGTAGTTGAGCTAGATAGACTGGATGAGACTCTGTATCTCGACTTCAGAAAGAGAGACACGCAAGCTCCATACCCGCGCGGGGGGTGTACCCAGTCCCTCGCATCTCCCACCGTCTTGCCCACAGCATCGAAGAAGAGCATCAGTTCTGCTCCAACGAGGCTGTTGGTCGTGTGCGGTGGGCGGAGGCGTAAGATGGACGTGCGACACGAGCTGCGTGTGCCATCTTACAAGGACAGTCGGGGAATCAAGGTATTGAAGCGAACTGCCCACGTCCCCGTCTTCGTCTGATGAGGCGCATTAGTCTTGCCCTTTCCCATATTGCGGGTACCCATTGACTCTGTATTGGCTAACTCTAGGTCTGCCCTTCGTACCGACATTGTCATTCTACTCGAAATTTGTTCTGTTCATGCGATGCCCAGGAGGTATCCGCTGTTTTCTACGATGACGGTGGATGAAATAGCGTGTAATGTATATGGGTGTGGAATGTAAGTAGACTTTACTGCATTTTTATGTCGCGGGTTGCTGCGTCCTTAGCTCCGTATTCTATTCTTCACTTTTGCAGCCGTAGGCGTAAGGTCTTTCGTCGACAGGGTTGTGAATAGCCTACCGCCGTCTTCAAGACTTTTATGACTGTTGTGAGTAGGACGTAACAGGAGATGACGAGAACCATATGGCAGAATGAAGTCAGCGTGCTTGAAAGTCTAGTACGGCAGCTCTTCTCTTAGTCGCCTGCATGACAGTTCCCCTTTCTTGCCTTAAGGGTTGCATTTGCCGGGGAGTTATGTTGTACAACTGTGCTCTTGTGTATACGTGGGCTATGTATGATGCGAAGAACGTGCGACTGTGGTTATGGTACAACCGATAGAAGTATTCTACTTATTACAACGCTTTTATTAGCAAGCGATCTAAGAGGCCTGAAAGAGTTGCAAGCAATATAGGAGAGGTGCAGGAGACCTAAAGGCACGCAAAAGATATGTGATGATGCAGTGGAGCAAAAAAAGAAAAGTCCAATCTCCTTGAGACTTGTTCATTGCTGAACAACTTCAAAAAGAAACAATGTGACCTAACCAGGGGTCGCTTTTTGAACGGTCAGCGTCGGAATTCGAATTGGGCTCTTCTGAGTGAATACTTACAACCTGGAATCTCTTGATATCGAACTGAATCGTAGTCAAGCGCCTTGCCATTGGGCCATTAGGCCAGTTGTACTGGTTGTTGATGGAAACACTGAAAAAAACATGGAATATATCGTCACACAACGTGTGAGATGCTCTGCGTTCAATGGCATCGGAAGATTCGGTGGCCGGAAACTTGGTCGAAATTCTTTGTGTGGTGGGGCGGCGGGATCCGCGGGTGAGGGGCACAGCAGGATCTTGGACGCGGGGCCAGGGCATACGCCGTACCCGTGCATGACATTAATCAACGGCAAGATAGCAAGGTTACCTCTGTAGGTAATCGGCGTGAACTCGTTGCCGTTCACTGGCTGCTCGCAAGCGACACTTGCAGTCGGGGGCTGGAAGGTAGGCAGTGCTTCTTTCCCAGCAGCAAATTCCACAGCATCCTCAATCGACGGCTGGACAGCGCAATGTGGAGTAAAGCCACATTTCTAAGGTTAAATTCATTGTTCGTGATGCCTCGCTGCCAGTATAGTGTTGCTGGAGCTCTATCAGTTTGTGCCAGGTGCAAACGCAGCAACAGCGATGTTTCGCGGTGGCTTCTTGCCGCCATCGACACCTGTTCCAAAACCTGCCTAGAAGAGGAGTACTGACTGACGCTAAGGCACAGCGAAAGCAAAGAATCGCTGTGGCTTCGACAGCAGTTGTAAAGTTGCCCCTCTCGGACATGACGCCTTCAGTGGCCCATCCAATCAGATGGGCAATTCTCTCACAGCGAAGAATCGCTGAAGCGTTCGACGGTAAGCATAAACCTGCCCGTCTCGGACTTACGCTAGGATTCATGGGCCCATCTAGCCAGTGGGTCAGTGGTCTCTGTGAAAGCAAAGTATCGCTGTGCCTTCGATGGCTGTTTGAAACTTGCCCGTCTCGGACACGATACTGTGGTAGACCAATCAAGCCGCTCATCTTCTCAAAGCAAAGAATCGCTTGAGCGATTCGACAGTAGACACGAAGTTGCCTCTTCAGGACATAACGCTAGGAAACATGCCATCGAATGCTGTCGACGAAAGCGAAAAATCGCTTTGAGCCTTCGATGGCTGTTTCAAACTTGCCTCTCTCGGACGTCACGCTTGTGGCAGGCCAATCAGCTAGGTTATCCTGTGAAAGCGAAAAATCGCTGAAGCTGCTTCAGCATTCGACGGTGAGAATCAAACCTGCCTGTCTCGGACTTGAGGCTTGTGGTGGGCCAATCAAATCCGATGGCATCTGAAAGCAATCTTTCGCGAACGAAGGCTTGGCCGCAATCTACAGCTGCTGTAAACCTGCCTGAAGTGGAAGGATGGGTGGATAGCCCTCGTCATTGACTTTAGCGATTGGTGCTTCTGTTCGGAGGGCAGCTGCCACCCTGGAATGTCCATGGATCACTGTATTCATCCTCAGTCACAATCGGTCCCACACCCCCAGAACTGTTCTGGAGACGATTCAAATGCAGCTTCCCCAAGATTGTAGACCCAGGCAATGAGAAGACGTTGATCTGTATTGTCTATTACCATGCTTTTTTAGACTGAACAGCATGAGGAGCGTCAGGAGTAATCGCCCACAACCCTACCACTTGTGAACATAATGCGAGATCCGAAGGTCAGCCGCTTTTAACAGCAAACCCAGAGTTCCTGTAATAAACAGGGACGATCTGACGCTGGCGAACTACGCTGTAATCCACAGTCTTTCTGCAAAGCTGCCAGAACTGGGATCTGCCATGTGTTCCACCAATTGAGCGGCTCAATATTCAAGGCGGCATCGAATTGCGCAATGCGAACAAGCTGTGTGCTACAACCTACAGCTCTCCAGATCTTGCCTCAATCGAAACAATATGTGGTTCCGTTCACAAAAGCGACGTCCTTTGCGGGCTCTGAACTCATGGCACAACTTCGCTGTCGATGCCATCTTGAACCGTGAGCAACTTGTCATCCTTGTGTAACCATGGATAATCAGAACCTCACAGAACTATCGTGAACAGTTTGCCACCATCAACACCTTCTCAAAACTTACTTGAACGAGACGTCTCACGTGCTGTGTCCTACAGTCCTCTGTGCATGACGCGCGAAAAGCGCTCTTTACCCGACCGATCCTAGCCGCGCACTATCCGCAGATCACTAACCCACTACACTCTAGCTGTAGATCCAGCTAATTAGTATAACTGCAATAACTTTTTAAACATTAATATAGCCTTCTAACTAATATCTAAAGTATAACTAGCTTAATATTTTTAGTCTTAGTAATAGTAACTATAGTATTATCTAAACTATAAGTTTAATATTATATACTTTAAGTAAAAATACTACTACTTTAAAAATAGTTAAATATAAAATTTTACTTTTTTAGTAATAATTTTTTATTTATTTACTTTAAGCTATATATATTAAGCTACTACTATTATACTTTATACTATAATTACTTAAAGTATTTTTAGTTAGATAAGCTACTTTAATACTTAAATTAATAAAGTTTTTAAAAACTACTAGTAAAATACTAAGTATACTTAGCTTATTATTAAATATATAAATATAATTAGCTTTAATTATATACTTAAAAAGTAATACTATACTATTACTAAAACTTTAGCTATATATTTATATAGTTATATAAGCTTTAATACTAATATTAAGTTTTTTACTTTTATTAAAATATATTACTTTAAAGTAATTTAATAGTATTTTACTATTATAATAATAGCTACTAATACTTATATAATTAGTTTAATATTTATACTACTAAGTTAAGAAAAGCTTTATAAAGAAGTAAAGTATATTTTACTTAGCTTATAAGCTAAGCGTATAAAAAAAAAAAAAAGATAAAGTAAGTAAAATAGTAGTAGCGTAGTACTCTAATTAATTAGTTTAGGTAGATAGCACTTTCTAGGAAGATACTACTCTAGCCTCTTACTGCGATTAACACCTAAAACAAAGTTACCTAGTTGGGAGTCATTACGTCTACGACTGGGTCTGTCTGCAGGGGGCTGAAGTCTTCATCCCTGTGACAGCGAAGTGTCGCTGTGCGCATGGCTTGGCTGCGATCGATACCCTTCCTTCAAACTGCTTGTTTGGGACGCGTTGCTGGGCGAGCTGTTTGATCATTTGATGTGGGAATCTTTGCTGATGCTCTCTGCGCGTGGGAACAACGCTGTTGTTAAGAGCGTCTGCACAGTTGCGATCTCCTGGGCTCGCGCAATGTGTGCCCGCAAATCGCAGCATTGAAATGTGTAGCATGCTTCCACACTGCATGTAGCAAATGCTTCTTCATCGATCAGACGCAGGTAAGACGCCGTCCGCGGGCCAGTCGACGCAGCCGGGGCAATCGGGGTATGCCTCAGCAATCCACGCCCTCTCGGAATGTGCCTGTTTGGGAGGTGCAGCCTTGCTGTAGCCTTTCCTCTCAATCACTCATTGGCAGTATTTGGCACACATTGATAGCTCATAAGTAATGGAGAACACCATCTTTTTGATTGTATGACACTGCGTCCGATTACACACCTTCATGCTGCGCCGTTGCACCTGGTGTGGTGTTGCAAGACAGCAGCCAGTTTGCAGTTCAGAAGCACCACCCAAAGAGCAAGAAAATTGGCTCCGCGGCATCAACGCATTTCAGTATCGTCTGCATGCAAGAAACTGTTAAAGCAGAGATTCTCTACATGACCACAAAATTGAAATTTATGCGCGACGAAGCGACCTGGGGTGCATGCGGTTTTGGTGTCTTGGAGGATGGAGACGCCGCGAGACGTCAGCAACGACGCGCCCATCTGCGCTGCTGCAGGCTACACAGGGGTCACATCTTAAAACCACGTCAACCTAGTGATAAGCTGAACACTCTGGAGCCTACATCAACGTCAGGTCACCTCCTTTGTCTGTGTTCATATCAAGGTAGTCTGCACGCCTGTTTAGGGTTTCTCTTGTATGAGATGGAACCGTCAAAGAATTCATGCATGACGACTACATGATCTTAAAATATTTAATACACTCCTCCACAGAGGCCATGTAGACGCCTCGCCTATGCGTAACTCGCCCATCCCATGTACAGCACCGCCAAATTCCGCTCATCGGTAGCTTGCTGTATGAGCTCATTCACCGTGGCCTTGGTACTAAGCGTTTTGCTCAACTTTTTCTCCACGACGCTAAGCGCCCGTCCCGCTTCGCCAGCCTGTTCCTCCTTCTCCCTCTTTTTGTTGTCTTCCTGCGCGACCGCTGCTGCCTCTTCGGCCGCCGACTGACCCGATGGCGCGGGTGTACCTCCCGGCGCAACGGTAGTCGAGCGCGCAGTACCGTTTGCGCCCGTTTCTTGGTTGGCTTCCTGCATGCGCTTCGCTTTGGTGGGTGTGACGCTCCAGTTGACTAGAGGATCGTATCGCAGGACATTGAGGAGGGTCATGATGGACTCTCGTTCCTCACGCAGTGTGTCCATAGTGAATTCGCAGCAACGGCGGAAGACACCTTCCGTCTTTGTGTATCCCATGCCGTCGACCAAATCGCGTGTTAGTCGGAATGGCACGACTTCTGGTACTGGCAGGACGCGACCAGCTTCGAAACTCACACCAAGATCGATATGTACTACCTCACCAGACTTCTCATCGAGGAGGATGTTGTGACAATGCCGATCGCCGAGACCGAGGACGTGTCCGAGGATAGAGATAGCGGCTGTTGAGCGCGTATATGCCAGGCGCCGTTCAAACCACTCGTCTGGGTCTTCGAAGCGCTCAAGTAAGAAGTAGCGCATCACGGGGTGGAAGTTGTCCGCAATCTTCTGCCATACTTTGACGCGCGTGGTGAGGGAATCCTGTTGGCATGCGCCAATCTCCTTGCGACATTTCTCAGGCTTGTAGTCGCTTGGGTAGTACTTTTCGTGGGCTGGCATGACCCAGAGATGTAGCGGAATTGTGTTCTGCACAAACTCCATAAGGCCAGAACGTGTTGAGAGTGGTAGAACTTTGTATGTGCGGATGCCGAGATTGCGAATACGCGTTGCGGTGTGGTTCTTCAGTAGTCGCGATACTTGATCGAACACTTGCTCCATGATTGCGTCCTGGCGTAGGTCG